GAATGTAAGAAGGGAATTTTATGACGCCTGGGTTATTGTCTAGCAGTCGATGTAGGAATATTTGAACATCTTGTTAAATCCTAAAGTTCTAACCATTTAATAGTACCTAAATTAATAAGTTATTAAATATTGTAATAATACTATAATTAACCTTGTAATTGATTACTTTATTTTACTCTAATTCATATTAATTTGTATTCATAAATACATTTTTAAGATTTCCGATGTAGGAATGCGTTTTCAATAATAATAAAGCACTAAATAGGTAAATTTCTGAAATGACAACTTCATTTGACAGTTATCTTTTACCTTGACTGGTGCTCATAAGTAAATACAGGGCCATAAGAAAGGAGAAATATTTAAAAAGAAATCGGCGATAACTCGTAAACGAGCTAATCAAAAATATCTAAAGTTATTCTTTTGAATGTGGGTTTTAGTGATCTTCAATAAACCTAAATAGAATTATTCTCTAAAATAATTAGGGAAGCCAATAATTGACCCCATTAAAATTTACATGGGATTTCCAATGTCCCGTCCGACGATGCAACACCCGGTATAATTAAAACATTGCTACTTCCTGTATTCTATAATTAACATAAATAACAAAATTAATTTCTAATCCAATTAAAATCTAGAGGTACTCACGACATTAAATTAACACGTATTGTAATATCTACTATGATTAGTACCTAATACTTAAAAAGTTTTAAAAATATTTTTATATATTTACAATATACATATACTGCGCTATTGTTGGATTGAAGTATAAATTTTAAGAAACATGGTAAATCACAAACATCACTTACCACAAAGAAATACTATTTCCGATACACTCAGAAGAAAATCTTTTAATTCAATCACAGCATCGTACGCAAGATCAACAAACTATTTTAATTTTTAAACTGACAACAATTATATCGAAGTGTTCGGTATTAAATCCTCCGACAGATAACATATCATTTCTAGCTACCATAGGCGTAGCAGTTATTTATTTTTTTTTTAAATAAAAATTCAAATAAAAATTATTGCTTTTAAAACCAGTTTATGTATAGTTTTATACAGTATTAATATTATAGGTTGTAGTTGGTTGCTTGGATTTTTTTGGGACTAAAACAGTAGTAGCCCATTTTTTGCATACTTTGTTCAGTATTTCATGTGGGGGAAGGGTGTACAAAATGACATAGTTGGGTAAAATGACAGATTACTTGTATTTCGGGAAATAAATATGCTGCTGAACCTGTGCCTTGGGTGCACTGATGGAAATTTAGTTCTGTTTTATCTCTCAAAATTTTCGTAGGTGTGTAAAAGTACCAAATTTCAAGAAAAACGGTTTACCGATGTTCTTAAAAGTAAACAACTTATTCAGGAAGTATTTTAGGGTATATGTTCATAGAAACTTTTTGTTTTATTTTTATCTGGAGAATCACTCACCAAAGTTAGATAGACTATTTTTTGACACCCTATGCTTATTTTTTATCTTCTAAAATTGATTCAACAGTTCATTAGATATTCTATATAATAAAAAGTAAATTAATTTTGTGTGGCGATCTAAATATTGACTTTTTCAGTGTGTGTGCAGCTAGGGAGTCTCTCCAGTCCATTTTTCATTCTTTTGGTATACTCATGCATGTTGACTCACCAACTAGAATAACTAAAACTGGCTCTAGTACTATAGATTATGTCGTGTCGTCTTTTGACCCGGAATTCGTCGACTGTAGAGTCCTTCACTCAGGTTTCTCTGATCATGAAGTATTGACAACGTTTTTGCCACATTCCAAATGCAAAAATACCTCGCGCAAATTGGGCCGTATTTTTTCGGATAAAAATTTTCTAAATTTTCACCACCTATGTCTAACAACTGAGTGGGTTGTCCTCTCGGCTGACGTCGATTCCGAATTTTCTAGATTTATAAATACCATGTCTAATCTGGCGTGCAAGGCGTTTCCTCTTAGGCCTATCAAAAGTAAGCAAGGTATACCCTGGTCTACGACCGGCTTGCGTATATCTGCAAAGAACATGCGCTCATTATCTCACCTTAAAAAATTCACCGACAGCGTTTTCTTTCATAATTACGTTAAACTTTATAGAAGGGTTTATCGTAAGACTATAAACGCTGCCAAGGACATTTATTATAATGGGAGGCTAGCCAAATCCGGTAATGTTGTTAAAGAGACTTGGGCTATTGTAAATGACTTAAGGAATAAGACTTCTTCGTCTGGCACAGTCTTTAATTCACCTGAAGATTTAAACACTTACTTTGTTAATGTGGCTAAAAATTTAGTGAACACCATAACTCCTTCCCATGATTCACTTTCATATCTCCCTAAAGCAAATGAGAATTTACACAGTTTCTTCTTCACGCCCGTAGCATTAGATGAGCTCCGTAGTACAATTAAAAGTATTAAAAATAAATTTCATCTGGGACTGATGGGCTTACTCTCAAAATGTTCTCTGAATTTCCGGAATGCACATTAATCTATCTTACTACTTTAATTAAGAAGTCATTCCAAAAGGAGTTTTTCCAAACTACCTTAAGACAGCAATAATTGTTCCTCTGCATAAAGGAGGAGATAAAGATCAAGCTTCTTCGAACTATCGCCCAATTGCTCTCCTGCCCACATTATCTAAGATCATTGAAAGATTGGTTAAAAAAGGCTTCTATCTTTTCTCCTTAAATATAAAGTACTTTCTACCCATCAATTTGGATTTCTAAGTAACAGTTGCACAAATGATGCTTTTTAATAATGTATACTCTAGCCTGAATAACCATCAATAACCATCAATCTACAATTTTCTGTGATTTCTCTAAGGTTTTCGACTGTGTAAATCATAATATCTTAAGTGCCGCTCGAATGGCTTAAGTCGTATCTTGGCAACAGAAGGCAGCTTGTGAGGATTGATACGTCTATGTCTTCTTGTAAGCCTATAGAATGTGGTGTCCCTCAGGGTTCAGTACTTGGCCCTATTTTATTTCTGGTGTTTATCAACGACATTGCAAATCTAGACATTAGCGGTAAAATCTGCCTCTTTGCGGACGATACTAGTTTCACTTGGAGCGGCCCAGATGTTACGGCACTATATGATACTATATCCAGTGACTTACGCACCATTAAATCTTGGTGCGATTCTAATCTCCTATGCCTCAACCTTTCAAAAACTAAAGTTTTGTCATATAAAAGTACTATACAACCTTTTGTACTTGACGTCGTGGACTCTGTGAGATTCTTAGGACTTGTTGTGGACAACTCTTTAAAATGGGACTTGCACATCGAAGCCTTATCAAAGAAACTAAGCTCTGCCTGTTTTGCGCTAAGATCAGTGTCTAAGGAACTTAACTCATCAACCCCTAGAATGGTCTATTATGCCCTTTTTGAGTCGCATCTTCGTTATGCCCTTCCATTCTGGGGTACTTGCTGCGCGACAAAAATTTGATCGTATTTTCAAACTTCAAAGAGAGCAGTTCGATACTTATTGGGACTAAACAGTAGAACTCACTGCCAGAATTTCTTTAAAAATTTCAAAATACTGACTCTTCCTTCCTTATTCATTTTGAATCCGTTTGCTTAATCCGCAAGCACATATTCTCTATTCCGGAAAGGCCTTCTCACAACTATCCACACTTAGGAATGCAGAGCACGATATTTATATGCCAACCCCGAGCTCAGAACTAGTTAAGAGCTCAATACTGTACAATGCCAAGAAAATGTACAATCATTTGCCTTCGAATATCAAGTCACTTTCATTCTTTCCCGCATTTCGCAAAGCTCTGAAATCATACTTACTGGAGAGAGCCCTATATGCGGTAAACGATTTTTTTGTTGTTGTTTAATCATGAACAATTTAGAGTTTTAATTTTAATATTTTGATCATCTCACACACTGGTTAAAGGTCTAGTATTTAATATTTTATAACTCTTGATTTTATGTTATTATAGCATGATTTTATCCATTTACAGTTTTCCTTTTAAAATTTTCTAGATACGCCTGTGTTCTGCAATGTCCATATATGTTTTATTTGTAATTTTATGATGTAATTTTTTTTTTGAATTGATTTGTATTGTATGACATTTTTTGTATTATTTGTATATTTGTTTTTGTGCTTTTTTTGTTTTGCTTTGTCGATGAAGCTGTTTTGGCTTTTTGTACAATAAAGCGTTGTTTTTTTTTAAATCCCAGACTATGTATTTAAAAAATAAATTATAATTGAATTAATTTTCATTGAATTCAAATTTTCAAAAAATTTCTATCACCAATTCTCCATAAACAGCTAACCTACCATAGACCGTGAATCATAGTCAATATCATAGAAATCATATTAGCCCGATGAGGTAGTTATACCACGAAACTGGTAGCGTTTTCAATAAGTATTTACATTAAAAAATAATTTTGGAACTGTTCCGAGAATGTTTCTGTTTCGCTTTATTAAAATAGTTATTCAAAAATATCAAAATTCACAAAAAATTTTTGTTTTAATTAAATACAAACTATAATTTTAAATAATATAAAATATATATTGTTTCGAAAACTAGTCTAAACTAATTTAAAAATAAAATATAATCTTTTAGCCTCGCTTTTAGCATAGTCCATTGTGAAACAAAGAATCTAATTATATATTTTTACCGACTCCGTAATCATACAGAAAAACATCTGTTATATATTTAAATAAATAAGGTCATCTTTATTTATCTATTTAACAAAGCAGAACGTAAACAATATATGTATATTGCTTAATTTGTAGAAATTAAAAAAAAATCATTTAATTCATAAATACAAAGTTAAATACACGACCTGAAACCCTCAAAAAAAATATAAAAAAAAACAATTCAAAGTATGCCTCACATTAACTATTATTATTTATAAAGTAAAGATTAATAAATTAGGCTGTTTGAATTAAGTTTACTGCTTCATATTACTTTTATATTACTGTATTTCATTCGTACACAAAGTATTTATAACACACTAACCGTTTAAAAACAGTTAAAAATGTAATTACCTACTTACCATATGTAAATTAACAGTTTTAATTAGATATTGATAAATTTATTGCCCGTAATTTTTGAAATCATAAACTAATACTGCTAAATATATTCAACGTTTTTCTTGTTTGGTATATGTCGCCTTCATCGGCCAAAAATAAACACAGCCCACGTGATTATCACACGCGACACAAGTGCACTAAACGCGGAACTTTTTGCGGAGAAAACAGCAGACAGCATACATTTATTAACGCAATAAGTAACATAATTAGTTATTTGTAATTATAGTACAATATATATGTTGTTTGCAAATTGGTCAGCTGTATATTTAATTGTAATTAACATCAGATATTGACATTATCGTTGGTATAAAGCCGTAGATTTAAATTAGCAAGTGTCTTTTGTGGTTTATTGCACGACGGCGACGTAATGAATTAAAAATAAATTAAGAAAACTTTCGTTTTTTAAGTGATATAAGCACAACGTAAGGCGAAGACATATGTATTAAAGACCCTGAGGTTGAATAAACCTCAAAGAAACTAGTTTAAACAATTTCCGTAAACCGACTGACGGCCAGGCAACGAAATCATTCCACCGCACCGGTTCCACAGACCATCACTTCAATACCTTTTCATAAATTCATTTTGAAACTAAAATAGAGTTCATCAAAAGGCACACTTCCCATTAAGAATATCTCTTCAGGCAGGGCCGTTCCTGGCGAGCGTGCAGTGCGTGCACGCACGTAGGCGCAACATTTTGGGGGCGCAAAATCAAAGGGTCAATCAGTACTTTGTAACAAAAAACGATACGCTTTCTTGCCAATAAACAAATACTTAAACCATCATAGGATAATTGTTCCTCTCTACAATTTCCTGTCTCACAATGTACTGTTTTTATTGATTTTATGGAAAGCACTGTTCATTAAAATGTTGTATCCTATGTTATAGGGCTTCATAGGGATCATAGTTGTCGATTTTCGAAAGAAATCAGTACATGTATATTATTTCGTATATTTTTCTTTTTATTGATACTATGGAAAGCACTGTTCATTAAAATGTTGTATCCTATGTTATAGGGCTTGTTTCTCTCTACAATTTCCTGTCTCACAATGTATCGTTTGTGTCCGGGAAGGGTTCATAGTTGATGATGAAGATATTAGCAAAATTATAATAAATACCAAAAAATAAGCCCTTAATTACCTTATTTTTACAACACGGTATAAGTAGCCCTCTTAATTATGCCTATTCTAACAAAAAAATAAGATAGAAGTTAGTTTATTTTAATATCGACGAAATACCAGAATACCATAATACCAGAGGTAAAATAAAAACACTAAATCACCACAATACAACAAAACACTTTTACTTTTACACTGGACGCGCGTTTTGCTAACCATGTTAGCATCATCAGCAGATGATTATAAACTAAAGTACAATCTACAAGTTGAGCGTTTATATACTCGCTCAGTGGGCACCGAGTGGGCGTGGCAAAATCTAGCCAACCGAATCAGAGCCCACTGAGCGTAACAGTTAGATTTCCGCCTCTAGAGTAGTAGGAACAAAGAACTTGAAGGAATTGGACCGTTGTTTCTGTTCATAATCTAGTTAATATTGATCTTCTAACTAGATTTAAAGAACATTTAGCTCAGATAAGATATGGTAGACAGGATAAATCTTGCGTTGCCGAACATATTGTTGATAAAGAACATTGTATAGATCTTAATAATTTAAAATTAATTAAACAAGTCTCAAATGACAGGCAATTAGATGCATATGAAAGCATCAGAATTAAAAAATGTAAAGATATTATGAACAGAGACAACGGTCCAATTCCTTCAAGTTCTTTGTTCCTACTGCTCTAGAGGCGGAAATCTAACTGTTACGCTCAGTGGGCTCTGACTCGGTTGGCTAGATTTTGCCACGCCCACTCGGTGCCCACTGAGCGAGTATATAAACGCTCAACTTGTAGATTGTACTTTAGGTTATAATCATCTGCTGATAATGCTAACATGGTTAGCGAAACGCGCGTCCAGTGTAGAAGTAAAAGTGTTTTGGTGTATTGTGGTGATTTAGTGTTTTTATTTTGCTGTGTAACACCAAAGGTTCCAACCCTCAACTGTAATACCAGAGGTATTAATATCTAATAATTAAGATATTAATAACAGTGATCAAGAAACGATGATTAAGTGAAGTCATGGTAGGCTTTGGAAAAAAGTTGCTTTTGGCGTAATAGTATAAACGTCAAATTGTTATTAGATCAACATTTTGATAGTCCTATCAGCGTTTTTTACCTTTTGATTGCTTTTTCAAAATGCCAACAACTTCCAACTATTTCAAATAATAAAGGCATTTTGAAAAATCAATTAAAAGATAAAAAAAAACGCTGATAAGACTATCAAAATGTTGATCAAATAACAATTTGACGTTTATACTATTATGTCAAAAGCAACTTTTTTCCAAAGCCTACCATGACTGCGAGCCAACTTCAAAACAAGGCCCTCAATGGGGGCTACAAATTTTAAAGGATCTACAAAAATATCGTTCTGCTACCAATATCTGCTACAAATAAATAATGACCGATGCTATTTTAATAACTAACTGATATTGTAAAATGAAATAAAACAAGAGATATATAAATATTTTTTATATAACAAATAAAAAAATAATATAATTATACTACACAATCCCATATCTACTACCAACTTTTCGTTAGAAATTAGAACAATAATTAGATTTTATACCCTTGATGTATAGGAAAAAATAAAATAGTTTCTTCGATTCGACGCTTCAGACAGCTAATAGAATAATCATGCAAAAATACTTTAAACACGCTATATACGAGTACTCTCATACGAGCACTCCACCAACGAACTTAGGAACTTCGGCGTAAATTTTAAAAAGTTATGAACAAAACTTTCATATTTTATATAATATGGCGAAAAACTTGTATAATATTTTCTAAAAAACTCATTAAAATAGAAATGGTACTTTTTTAATAGTTTTTTTAAATCTCACTGAGGATTTTTTATCAACCTGTATGACCGTGCACACAGGGGTTGTCTCAAACTCGAAACGGAAGCATCTACTTGTTTGTTGTTAGTATATAACTTCCTACGTAAATAATAGTATATAGATCCACGAACGGGTCGTTTGGCGGTCGACGCGAAGTCGATGTGATTGATACTATTATCAGATTCTTTACATACGAAAGTAGAGTGGAGGGAGATTCGCTTGGAGTTTGAGACGCTTCCGCTTCGAAAGCCAGAAGACCCGTAAGCGGGACGCTCTAAGAGGATAAAACTATAATGATTGTCGATTATATGAGTAGTTCTTAAGTCAGAACAGGATTAATTAATAAAATACAGAAAACTTTTATTTAACGTGTTTAAAATATACTTGAGATTTCCAGTGTCCAAGTCGGCAATGAAACAACACATGATATATACCTTTGAATAAGAAGACTAAGGAAGAAGCATATCAAAAATCTTAGGTCCACCGCGATGGGACTCAAATATGGCCGACTTAAATTCCGGTTTATCAGTGCCGTTCTAATTTTATTTAAAAAATTTAAAAATATGATGTAGGGTAGACGTGGGGTAGACTCAATAATTTTTTATTTATTTTACGTTAGGTAGTTATTAAAATTGTTATAAAAACATATATTATTATAATAAAAATAGATAAGTTTTAATAATTATTTATTAACACAAACATCCGATACGCTACTGAAACAGGTAAGTCAAATTGACGTATCTAAATTCTTTGACATCTAATCTTTGACAAGTAGTAAATAAAAGCAAAAATGCAAGAAAAAATATATAATTAGTTAATTTAAGTGAATTTTATATATGATCGGTTTACTACACGTGTGTATATTATATAGTCACTTACTAGCGAAAAGTTGTTCCATTATTTCACTCGATTTTTGCCGAGACCTACCGCACGCTACACAACCAACTATTTTAGAGTCTTTTTCGATAAATCGCGATAGTGTCACTGTTAATTTAAGTTCTGCCACAATTTCCATCTAGATTTACTACCTTTATACAACTATCAGTAGTAGAATAAATAATAAATAACATAAAATAAGCTCCGTAAAGACTGACAAATCCACAAAATTTCAAATCAAATTCAAATGTGTCAAATGAATCGTCAAACAGAACTGTCAGGGATCCCCACCCTAGAGTCCTTTTTCCGCCCACCATGCATGAATACATTGATAGCATTATGCTCCTTCCTTAGTCTTCTTTTTCAAAGATATATATCAATCCTAAAAATAACACATATGAGGGCTTGGAGGTATAAACGGTTTTTATTATAACCTAAATTTATTATCTATTAGTATCAATACCGTTTTGTAGTGATTTTTTAATACCACCTTAATTATTGTACTTCCTATAATTCTTTTTTTAAATATTAATATAAAAAACAATTCATTAAAAAGTAAAAGTTCCAATGAGCAAATATAAAAGTTACTGTTAGCTTACCTACATAATAATAGTACATAATAATAGTATTCTTTCGTTCTGAACGAACTGAACATTTTCACTTAAACTGATTTATTCACTTTACGTGATATTCTTTCGTTTACAATCAATGCCTTTCTAAAAAACCTTTCTCACACAAGTAGCAAAAATTATTCTGTCAATGTTAAACCTGCTGCTACTACCACAGATTAGATATCCTATAAGTATACAGACAAAAATCTTGTCCCTAATTCGTGGTACGAAAATTGTTTTTTATGACGATGTGCAAACGAGTCAAATTTCCTGTGCGCAAAAATAAACTTGCCTAAAGCCCCGTTCTCAGAACTGCCACTGTCGCCAGCGACACGACAAAAGAACCAATCAGATTTGTACAAAATTCAAACAGCTGTCAATTTTAAATTTAGTACAGCTCCCATTGGTCGTTTGAAGTGTCAATCAGTGTCGCTGTCGACACGACGCAGTTCTGAGAACGGGGCTTAAACAGCGTAATAGAGAGATATCGCTAAACCGAATAGCGTGCATGGACGTTAATCAGGCCAGATGTTATTTTCTTTACGTGAGGTGGTATTAACTCTCTTCATTAATAGTTATCGGATCGGAAAGAATTCTGTTCGCGTCGCGTCCGCTATTTAAACTTAACCTAACTTTGAATTTAAAACTTTGAAATTGTTTTGTTTACTAGGTATTTTAAAACTAAAGGGCTAAAGTGCTTATTTCCAGTGCTTTATTGTTCAACGTCTGCCAGTGGGTTTAGGGCAACAAGTAACAAATTCTCTTAGAAGGGCTAAGTCGTCATCTGCTGTAAACCTAAGACTCTTTATAGGTTCTTTAGTATTGGAAGAAGTGGAATCCATATTTTGGGCCATATTAATTATTTAATTAAAACTAATCCCAGCTACTTAAATATCAAATTACCTAATAAAACTAAAGGAATAATTCAAAACAATTCAAACATAACCTAAAATAAAAGATCTCGCCGGCCGGCCCCGGTTGTCAAATACCCGCACATGCCCATTTAAGCAATTTTTAAACGTTATCAGAGGTTATTTAGAAAGAGCGCTTGGTGTAATCGATCCGCAAATTAGGTCAGGCGGTAACGTTATTAGCGGGTGTTGCGTTGACTCGCGCATATCGTAACCATGATAAGATACGCGTAAATACTGGATGACGCTATTCGGTTTTCCGATATCTCTCTAATAACTGTGCTGGTCAGGCGCTGTGCACAATTTTAGAGGCCATAAGTGGGCGTGCCATGTGCGCAAACTAGTCACCTAACTAGTGCCCGATTCCGAAAATTGGAACCACAAAAAACAATAAAGAAAAAACAAAGATTATAATCTGTGATTATATATACGGAACCCAGCAAAAACGTAACATTTATATAGTTATACAAAATTAAAAAAAATTAAATAGTGCTTTACCTATAATAGAGACTTAATAAATAAAATAAAATAAACTATTGATAAATTTCAATTATAAAAATATTTGGCGACATAATTCCGGAAAAAATGAAACCACTCCGAAGTCCGCTGCAAGAGCAACGCTAATAATATCTACATAATCTTAACTTGATTACCCAACCAAACCTAACCAAACCAATTTACATTACATTTATCAATTTAAATGAAAGTCAAAATTGTGAATTGTAAAAAATTATTTAGAATTTTATTCAGGAGGTAGATAGAGAAGTTCCAAAGAAAAATTATGAATAAAAATTATTTTAAAAATTAGTTTCCTGTTGTTCATTTAGAAGTTGCATATAAATGTATTCAAAATATACTAATTCTAGTTTCCTTGTTATTAATATACCGTATGATCGAATAAAAACGGCGTCACCGATGGTTATAAATGAAGATCGCTCATTTTATACCGTGCTGGCAACTATTACTTTTGGGTCGGCATTTACATGTGTTGAAGTAAATCGCATAGGGATCTTATTAAGTCGGAGTGAGAGAAATGCGACCGACCGACGCGACGCGCGACGGTGTGCCGTTGCGGCGTTGCCGATACGCCTTTCCCTATCAAGTAAAATCACGATCGTAAATCGCTTATTTTTAAAAGACTATTTTTTAAGGTTGTTTTTTCCATTTAAAAATTGTAAACAATCCATCCATTTACTTTTAGAGCATAGCAATTTTCAGCAATCGTGTAATTTTTTTATTGATAAAGCTTTTCACATACTGTCTACAAAGAAAATACAGCAGAAATATTAAGAAAGTTCTTGAAAAAACTACAATCTATTATTTCTAATAGATTTCGAGATATCGATTTTTGAATTCAGAGTTCTAATAGCGCGACCACTATCGAACACCCACTCAATTCCACTTATTTTTACCAAAAATGCAAGTGTTTCTAGCTTGCACTTAAAAAGATTCAAGCTATAGGAAAAATTACAACGACTCGTTAATAAATAAACAAATTAAGTATCACGAGACGTAATTAAATCGTGAAGCTGAACGCATGACGTACACCTTTCCCTAGAACTTTCCACGTCTCTTAGCGATGTGCACAGTTTTTCAGTTTATTTCATACGTTTGGCAACGTGTTTACTGTCCTCTCTTTGTTCAGTACATTATAATCGCATTGTACTCTTCTTACATACGGAAATCTCGACCCAAGACTAACCTTTGCCAGCCCTTAGTATGTAAAATTATATCGGAAATGTCATCGATCATCATTTCATAGCCATCGCTGACGCCGTTTTTATTCGGTCATACGGTACTATTCTAAATTAATAATTAAATTATCATAAAAAATAAAATTTGATATTTGCCATGGAATATGACTTATTTCAGTAAAAACTCAGTATACCTTCACGTCTAAGGTTTATTTAATAAATAAAATAACTATGACCTGTATTTATAAAAAATTTTAGTTTTAAACAAATCTGGCAGTGAGACAAATATCAAAATAAGTTTTAAATTACTATTCTTAGAATGTTATTGAATTGTATATTCCCACCCTTATGTTTTACCTAGTTATTACCCACTCCATGAATGCTATATATCTTTACACACATAATGGAAAAATTTCTTAGAGTATTCTACAGTAGCAAACAATGTGGCTGTAGCTGGAATTGTCCGCAATAGTGTAGGCGTTAACCCTTTATACAATGCGCCAACGCCCTCATGTTTTGCTATAGTTGATAATGTTGAAACTAAACTGTCACTTAGACTATTAACTTGAATGCGCGATTTGGCAACATCAAATGGAAAAGTGGTAACCCAGAAAACTCCACCGCCAACACCTCCGGCTAACATCGTTTTAAATAATCCAATATCGTCCTTTTTCTGGCCAGGGCGTCGTAATAATTCTCTGGTACCTGCAATGAAGTTTATGTAAAAATGAAGCTTTTATCAGTCAATAGAATATACGTGCTGTAATTTTTTATATTAGATTTTAGCTAGTAATTATATTCCATTTTTTAGATCATACTGGACCCCCTATAGGTTTACTTATTTCTCTAAACTTCAAGTCTTTTGATTCGTCGTGCTCAACGAATGATACGAAATGGGAGTCGCCCAAAGCAAAGATAAATTTAACAAAGAAACCTAAAGTAATTTAGAACTCACTACTCATCGCCTTCAGTCAACATTTATTAATTGTAATTTTATATTAATTTAATATTAATTTTTTTTAGTTTTCGGCCCAAATACTCCTACCCCTGTCCCTGTTTTGGTTTTGGAAGCATCAGTATACCACGTGATGGTATGGTCTTTTATATGCTGAATAAGCGTTTCTTTCTTCCAATCCTTTTTATTACTCAATACTACAGTGAGGTGTTTCTCAAAGTTGTAAATTCTTGGTATGTCATCCACTGGGAGTTGGAGAAATGGAATGTTCTTTTTGAGGGTGTTCCAAGCCCCTGACCTGAAAATTCTCCCAGTACTGTTTCCGTCAATGACCATTCTAATCATTGTCGCATTGCAGTGGTGTTAGGTCTAGAATGACCTCCATTGCTGCTCTTGGACATGTTCTCATGGTACCTGTGATGCAAATACATGCCAGTCTCTGTACTTTGCACAGGTTTTGCCTTGCTGTACGTTGCTCTAGTTTTGTATACCAAGCAACTGCTCCGTAAGTAATCATGGGTCTTACTATCATGATATACATCCAGCGCAAAACGTTAAGGTCGCAGCCCCACCTATTTCCCGCCAGTCTTCTGCATATCATGAGAGCCTTTGTGGCTTTGCTGGTAATGTTCTTAATATGCCTGTTCCAGAGAAGTTTACTATCCAGGGTTATTCCCAGATATTTCACTTCCTGTGATGGCAGTATTTCTTTTCAAGTTTTTCAAACTTCGCTTTCTGGTGAATGGCACTATCGCGGTTTTATGTGAGTTAATACTAAGCCCGACAGTCCTGCACCATCTCTCAGCGATGCGGAGTCCTCTTTGGATAATATCACACAGGGTGCTTTCATGTTTCCCCCGTGCAATGTTGACTATGTCATCTGCATACCCTATGCAGCGTATTCCCGCTAGAGTTAGGTTATTCAACCCTTATAATAAATAACTTTTTTGGGCCCAGTAATCCAAAAATTAAATAAAATACCGGGTGTTCCATAAGAAAAAAATATAACTTTGGTATAGATCTTAGTTCTGAAACAGTCTGTATATTTCAAAATACTTTTAGATGGTGCACATTGCCTCCCCACATATGCCCATAAAATATTTTGTTTTTACATCTTTCCGTTTTCGTATAATCAACCGAGGCGAATGAGGTGGCTATATACCCTGTATAATTATTATACAGGGTTGTTCACCACATACGACACGGAGTATTGTAGCTAAACGATTAGATTTTTACAAATTGTAAGTTTTGGGTTCGTTGAAGGTCTATTAGAGCTACAATTTAAAAATATTTTTACAAGATACAGAGTGTCCCAAATAAGTAAAAAATATTATAGTTGTATTTTTTTAAACGGAACACCTTGTATATTATTCTATTTTTAGATCTACGGTTGAAATAAAGGTAAATTTGATTAAGGTTTATCACACTTAAACCTTACCGTTTTTGAAATATTTTCAATTTTATGAAATTGCAGTAAAAAAATTAAGGCTTTATTTCTCCAAGGGTATCAAAGTTTTTAAAACTAAATATTTACTGAAGATTATTTATTAATCAGATATTGTGTTGCAATAATAAAAATTTTACTACCTTATACAGAGTGTCCAAAAATTTATATTAAATAATTACTAGCTATAAACGGCAATAACTTGTTTAATTTAAACGGAACACCCTATATATTTTACGTGAATCAGATGCACAATGTAATTGTCTATCAAATTGTATTATGCCATTTTTCACCCATCTCTTGAAGTTTTCGTAGAAAATGCATTTTCTTATAATTTAGACCTCATTTATCACTATACCCATGGAATATTGACATTTCAGATTTTTTTATAGCACCATAAAGCCCCGTTCTCAGAACTGCGACTGTCGCCAGCGACACGACAAAAGAACCAATCAGATTTGTACAAAATTCAAACAGCTGTCAATTTTAAATTTAGTACAGCTCCCATTGGTTGTTTGAAATGTCAAACTGTGTCGCCCGCGACACGACGTTGTTCTGAGAACGGGGCTTAATATGTACAAAATGTACAGGTAGTAAATATTGCAAGCCCATTGGCATACAAAAAACTATTTAAATCTTTGTAAAAGAGTATACCAATTAAATATACCACCATTATTTCTTACAAAAAAACATCAAAAGTTAGTTAATTACATACTTGTAAATTGTTTTAGTTAACAAATTATTTTAAATAAATGTGGATTTGGCTCAGAAATCAATATAATAATAAGTTATGAAAATGAATGTATCTGTTTTTATAAATAAGCATTCGTCAATAAATGAAATAAAATTTATAAGGTGTAACTATTTACCACACTGTCTAATACACACACATAATTCAGTTTTTTAGTATTTGGAACAGTTATTACAGTAGTTTGAATACTGGGATCATATTAATTGGAACTCTTTAACAAAAAATATTTAAACAGTTTTATTTTTATTTTTTAATTAAATAAGCGAACTATATCGACAATATTAGTATCTGTACCCTTTAAAAATTTGTTACATTGTTAAAAATAAGCTAAAATGTCAATATTCCATGGGTATAGTGATAAATGAGGTCTAAATTATAAGAAAATGCATTTTCTATGAAAACTTGAAGAGATGGGTAAAAAATGGAACAATATAATTTGATAGACAATTACATTGTGCATCTGATCCACGTAAAATATATAGGGTGTACCATTTAAATTAAACAAGTTATTGCCGTTTATAGCTAGTAATTATTTAATATAAATTTTTGGACACTCTGTATAAGGTAGTAAAATTTTTATTATTGCAACACAATATCTGATTAATAAATAATCTTCAGTAAATATTTAGTTTTAAAAACTTTGATACCCTTGGAGAAATAAAGCCTTAATTTTTTTACTGCAATTTCATAAAATTGAAAATATTTCAAAAACGGTAAGGTTTAAGTGTGATAAACCTTAATCAAATTTACCTTTATTTCAACCGTAGATCTAAAAATAGAATAATATACAAGGTGTTCCATTTAAAAAAATACAACTATAATATTTTTTACTTATTTGGGACACTCTGTATCTTGTAAAAATATTTTTAAATTGTAGCTCTAAAGCTTGTTTCATATAGACGCGAATCGCGAATTGCGATTTTGCGAAACTGCTCTCATTGGTCCAATTTTACTGATCATGGCGGCGCTGTCAGAAATTTTAAGATTTTGGCGATTCGCAAGATTTAAAATTTGGGGGGCGGGAAAGTTAAAGTGTTTTCAACTTTTTGCGAATATTCGCGCGATTTTAAGGTTCGCGTTTGCGCAGAATGGTGTTGTGATCCGGTTATCGATTATTTTGACGACGCTGTCGCAAAGTAACTTGAAAGCATTTCTCCAGTTGAAATGGGTTCTCGTCAAATACATAGTCAAATATGTTTAAAATAATTTAAACGTATTTGGTTCTCGTGCATATGTTTTTGATATATATGGTGACAATTTTTCAACTTCAACCAAGTTATCAAACTCCTATACAGACAATCTGTGAAAATTCCTAAATTTTTTCTCATTTTTTTCCTTATTTCTTGAATTAAATTGTGACAAGCACCTTGTTGCTTACGAAATTTGAATATTTCACATGTCCCAAATGACCCATAAATAGGGAACAACGGCATACGGTCGAGTCGGCCTACAAACACGTAACGTTTACGTACGCATGCGCATTTCTTATATCTTTTATTTTTTATACACGTAAAAGATGCTTTACGTCTACGTATACGTGCCAGCAGCGGCCGACTTGACCGTATGCCGTTGTTCTCTAATGACTTATAAACCTGTGCTATAAACTATAAGCCCGTTCTCTTCTACGTTTTAACAATAAGTAAATGGCAATTTTGCACCTTATTCTATTCCAATCCCACAATCGTAATCGATATTCATAATTATTAAAAAAATTTAAACTCATATTGTATGCTATAAAATATAAAATAAAGATCGTAAACACGAATAAATATGTATAAAATAAATTAAGTTATCTCAGGTTAGGATTTTTTTTGGTAACTTTCAGTGGAGCAAAAATGAAATGTCCCTAAAAATTCGCGACTGTATGAAATAGGTCCAAATTTTGCGAATATTTTTTGGCGAATCACTTTTCGCAATTCGCGATTCGCGTCTATATGAAACAAGCTTAATACACCTTTAACGAACCCAAAACTTACAATTGGTAAAAATCTAATCGTTGAGCTATAATATTCCGTGTCGTATGTGGTGAACAACCCTGTATAAAATACATATTGTACAAAGTTTCAATTTAATCTGAAGTCTTAAAGTATATAACAAACACAGTCAGATTCCGTAACATAGGTACAAGTGAAACTAATAAAAAAAATTAAAAGGACAAAATAAATCGACTCACCCTCATAACCGCCAAAAAAGAAAAAGTAGCCGGGCATTTCTCTGGCTAATGTTGGCACTAGACCTCGAAATAATCCTACAACTCCTTCATTCTTGAATATATTTCTAGTTAAATTCAAAGGACCTATATAATTTAAATTTGTACCAGCATGTGACTGTTTACTAACTTCTCGCATTGCTTGAAGTTTACATTTTATTAATTCAGTCGGAGTGATTGCTATCGACGAAAAAAATGAAGCTAAAAAGCCAGCAGAAGCATTGGACAGTGTACTTAGTTCTTCAGCAGATTCAGCACCTACAACAATAAAAAACATTTACATTTACCCCTAGTAAGGTATTCAATATCCATTTATACAGGGTGTCCCAGAAATGAGTGCAGATATTTTAAGAGGTGGTAGATCTGGTCAAAATAAACATATTTTCTCTTTACCATTTTTAAAATAAATTGAAAATAACTGAGTTATTTAACTTTGAAAATTTAAAAAAATAATCGCAACATTTTGAGAACCGCCGGCAGATATTGCCAACTACATCCAATTACCCGGATCAAGCCCGGATTTCAGTTAATTCGACGCACTGTGTTGCCATATGGACAAGAAAGTATATGTTTACAAGTAAGTCATAAAATCACAACACTTGAGGAGTTTGCAGAGATGCATTACATTTTTAAGATTGTGATATTATTACATAAAATAAATTAAAAGTTAAATGTTTAAAAGTTAAATTAAAAAAACTTACCCAACATTAAAAAGATACTTATGACAGATCGATGTAACTGCGACAGTTCTCTTTTTCGATACACACTTAACTAAAATACACTTCATTGTGCTGCTTTACTTGTACGTGCTATTATAAAAACTGCTAAAATAACAGTGCCCATTTTTAACTTAACACATTATTTTCGTATAGGCTTCATCACAATTTGAATCACTGATTTACAAAACACCTTGAAAAACACACATTACACATTACAATGAATATCTTTCTGAATGAATAAATGTTGAGAATTATTGTCTCTTACCGCCACTTTATGAACTACTTTCAATCTAAGAAAATACATGTTTTACTCAACAATTTTAAATACGTATTTTGCTTTTTCGCTATTTTTTCGATGTATTTCGACAATTCCGTCAACAGCCCAACCATCCGTCGGCCAAGACAGCCACGCATCACTGGTTGGTAACTGCTCACTGCTTCTTTATCGCGCCGGCGTGTCGAGCTTGCGTCATGCGAGGTTGCCGTAGTTTCAACAATTTCAAATTCAAGACACTCGAAGCAATCAAATTCTTATTAAATTTTAAAAATAAAACAGAAAAACATGAAAGGAAACAAACAAAACACAAATGAATTGATTATTGATAAGGTCAAAAAAGAAATTTCTAAATTGTTTATCGTAATTCAGAATTCAATATATCGAAAACAGCCCGACGAATAATCAATTCATTTTCGTTTTGTTTGTTTCCTTTCATGTTTCTCTGTTTATTTTTAAAATTTAATACAAATTTGATTGCTTCGAATCTCTTGAATTTGAAATTGTTGTAACTACGGCAACGTTGCTTAACATCGTCGTCTGACGCAAGCCTGCCACGACGGCGCGGCTCAAGGACCAGTTCACACGTGGCACTCTTGGCCGACGCGCGACGGTCGGGCTGTCAAAATACATCGAAAAAATAGCGAAAAAACAAAATACGTATTTAAAATTGTTGAGTGAAACATGTCTTAAATTGAAAGTAGTTCGTAAAGTGGCGATAAGAGACGGTATTCAAAGTAATGTGCGCTTTTCAAGGTGTTTTGTAAATCAGTGGTTCAAATAAAACAGAGAAACATGAAAGAAAACAAATATTGAATTCTAAATTACGATAAACATTTTAGGAATTTCTTTTTTGTGACCTGGTTGTGAACAATATGATGAATCATTTTCGTAAACGTCATAAACGTAATGTTTTAGTTAATTTTCGGTGGTTTTTGTTAAGTTTTCATTGAAAGGGTAAGTACTAAACATAATTAATGTGTTTTTTTTTCTATAATAATTATTAATAATGAGCACTGATGAAAATTTAACATTCTTAATTTTTGAGTAGAAATTTTTCTATGAATTTATAAATGTAGAACTATGTAGAATGTGGATAACATAGGAGGTTACAACACTGCAAGGTTTAGATACACCGTAGAGAAATCTCAGGTGAATAAACAAGTGGCTCTAAAAAGTTTTTTCAAATTTCCCGGAAAATGTCAAGAAAAATTTTAAATTTTCAACATTTTTTTTTCGCAAAAAAAACCTCATAGGCGTGTTTCTGGGGTTGAACTATACTACCAGTTAAAATATTTGCACTTATTTCTGGGACACCCTGTATAATATCGAAACATCATAGTTGTGTAAATCAGTATGATAAAGACAATGGAAACAACATATGTCACAATTTTATTTCAAATTTTAGAGTTGTAAAACAAATCATATCAGAGAAATTGGCCTTAAACTACAAGCTCACAGAAAACTTTGTCACAGAAGTCTTTTTTGATTTAAATCATTTTAATGACTTAAGTAATTTTTCGAAAGCTGACTTAAGTCAGAGATTACTTATTAAATGATTTAATAAGTCAAAGACTTCCCATATAACACACAATATCCGCAGGATATTCATAGAATGTCGGAATGTCCCATTATAAGATCATCTTATTAAGACATCTATAGGATATCCTCCAGACATCCTGAAATCCTGTAGATGTCTCAGAATAGAATATCCTATGGATATCTCTGTCGTATATCTAATGTACATCCAGCTGAGATATTCAAACATGCTCATGATAATAAAATATCCTAACAATATCGTCTACGAAACTAGATTCCTATCAGCCAATAGAACAGGCAGGCTTTCGAAAAGGTTTTAGTACCATCGATCATCTACAAACAATTAAAACAGTCATTGAAAAAACAACAGAATACAATATACCTCTACATTTGGCCTTTGTAGACTACCACAAAGCCTTTGACAGCATCGAAACCTGGTCATTTCTAGCTGCAATGGAGGACGCGAGAATTGATTCCAGATATTATTCCATTATTAAAAATATCTATGATAGTGCAACCTTCCAAGTTAAATTAGATGATGACCTCAAAACAGAAAAAATACTACTCGGCAAGGGCGTGAGACAAGGAGATACCATCTCTCCCAAGTTATTTACACTGGCACTGGAAAATGTCTTCAAGAAATTAGAATGGGAAAATAGAGGTCTAAACATCGATGGGGTACACCTTAGCCATCTGAGGTTCGCAGACGATATTGTCTTGCTGAGCACCGACATTCAAGAACTAAACACCATGCTAAATGAGCTAAATGACCAATCCCAGAAAATTGGCTTTAAAATGAATTTGAAAAAGACCAAGATAATGAGCAACAATATCCATAACATTACCGTTGACAACGTTATTATTGAAAACGTAGACCATTATATATATATTTAGGTCATAAAATCAAGCTGGGCAAGGAAAACCAAAATACGGAGATCAAACGCAGGATCCATTTGGCATGGGTAGCATTTGGAAATATGAGCAATATTTTCAAGGATAAAAAGGTGCCCATGAACCTAAAGAAAAAAGCTTACGACAGCTGCATTCTACCTGTGCTTACGTATGGCTTAGAGACTATGTCAATTACTCGAAAAACAGCAGAACAAATACGAGTAGCACAAAGAGCCATGGAAAGAATCATGTTGGGAGTCAATATTAGAGAAAAAAATACGGAATACCCACATACGTCAAAAAACAAAATTAATAGATGTCGTTAAAAGAGTGGCAAGTCTGAAGTGGCAATGGATAGGACATGTGGCAAGACAGGATCCAGACCGATGGCCCCAAAAAGTAATCCTATGGAGACCTAGGGGAACAACAAGAAGTGTGGGCCGACCAAAAAAAAGATGGGTCGATGACGTCAGGGCAGTGGCGGGAGGACAATGGATAAGATTGACTAGAGATCGCGAAGCATGGAAAAATCTAGAAGAGGCCTATATCCAACACTGGATGGAACCAGGCTGAGAAAGAGAACAATATTGTCTAGATATTTAGGAAAAATAAATAATGTACTACTTTTTATATTACATAAAATGCAATAAACCATACAGATAGATATATATTACGTCAAGGCAACAAAATATCCTGTTGGTATCTTCTGGATAATCTGGATATTTATGAGCTTGGCCACTCCCAGTAATATAGAGAATTTAAAACGCCCGCGCAAAAAATTTCCCACAATCCATCTCGACAGTTGTTTGTTTTTGCATCGTGTATTATTCAGTTCTTTGATTTAGTGAAATTCGAGGAGAATTAAGTCGTTTGTCGATATTGAATGGGCTTAAAAATGACTGAAACTAACAAAACTGGTTGAGTTTGACTTAGTTTTTTCTTATACTCATAGTTCTAGCTTTGGTTCTAGGGTTCTAGCTTTGTTCTAGTAGAAATTCTATCCTAACCTCAACTAATGTCGAAAAACGACGAACGACTCAGGGTGCAGCCACACTATCCTAAAAACGGCGTATCGGCGTAACGGCGTAACGACCTTGAATCGATTTCCAGTAATTCTATTGGCTGAAATATTTGACAGATGAATTTGACAGATAAAATTTCTGACAGATGAATGTTTCAGCCAATAGAATTACTGGAAATCGATTCAAATCGACCACGCCGATACACGACATTTTAGGATAAATGTAACTAGTATTATCAGGGTGCAGCCACACTATCCTAAAACGGCGTATCAGCGTAACGGCGTAATGACCTTGAATAGATTTCCAGTAATTCTATTGGCTGAAACATTCATCTGTCAGAAATTTTGCCCTGAGGGTGCAGCCACACTATCCTAAAAACGGCGTATTGGCGTAACGGCGTAACGACCTTGAATCGATTTCCAGTAATTCTATTGGCTGAAATTTTTGACAGATGAATTTGACAGATGAATGTTTCAGCCAATAGAATTACTGGAAATCTATTCAGGTTACGCCGTTACGCCGATACGCCGTTTTTAAGATAGTCTGGATGCACAAAATTATAGGTGAAAATTTATTGAAAAGCGCTTGTTCTTTATCCTAAACCCATTTTCATGTTTGATGTTTTAAAACAGAAATCCTATTTTTGTATTTAAATTTGAGTTTCTGGAATGTGTGGTGTTAGAAATTATACCTGTATCCTGTGTGCTAACTTTGATGTAAACTGTTGCTGCTAGACAAAACTGCTAGACTCCACAAAGGGTAGTATAATCTGGTATAATACCATACGATCGAAAAAACGGCGTCAGAGGTGGCTTGGACATGAAGGTTGCTGTTATTTTGTATGTAAAATTATATGGGGAATGTCATCGATCGTAATTTTCAAGCCAATTGAACGCCGTTTTTTCGATGGTACGTATTTGACGCAAAATTCATTGACATAATATGTAGGTATATTTTAGAGCTGTTAATAAAAATATCCAATGAATAACGTTAAAAATGTGGCTAAGTAAAACTAAATCGCGAACTTTTTACTATAAACTAAGGATGAAGTAAGTATTGTCAAATAACAGTCCTCATATAATGCCCTAAAAATATTCTATAATGCTCCCAACATCATCCTTGTATTATCCTATAAATATCCCAAATAATCGTAAAAGGCTTGCCTAGGGATGTCTTGAAGATGACTTTTTTTGTCCCATCTGGATATCCCATAAATATCCTCCTCTGGTTTTTGGATATCCCTAAGATATTTACTATATCCTTGGTGGATATCCTCAAGATATCTATAGGATTGTGCTGTGTTATATGGGTTAAGATTTAAATTGAACTTTATGTTGAATTTGACTTAAGACTTGAATCATTTTCATTTTAGAAATGACTTAATTAAGTCTTTTTAAAACTGACTTGTTGCAGCTCTAGTCTTAAATAATAAAAATAAGCAAATCAGAGAGTGAAATGCAATAAAATTACCTGTACTTTTGATAATAATCTTTTGACAGAATCCATAGCATAAAAATAAAACTGAATTTTCAGCTACATTTGTTGCTAGTGCAGGCACTGTGCCAGCATATAATCCTCTTACAATTCCATCCTGGATATACGTTTTCTTGAAACAATCCACCATTCCATTATAGAAAAGGGGAAATGTTTGTAACTTAACCTTTACTGTGTCTAATGGTTGTCCTACATAAACTAATGCTATTCCACCTAAAATAAAAAGTAAAATATAAAAATACTTAACACTGCTCGTATAACATTATTTAAGATTAAGTTATGTAACGAATGGAATAATCTGGGCGGCTAAAAACATTAAGCGGCGAGTAAAATCTGGACTGTATGTTTCTCTCATATCTTGTTACTACATACATATATTTCTTTAAATATTCTTTCAAAAAATTTGCTAATTTAAGTGTATAATAATAGCACAGAATATCTAGCTACGCAAGATAGATATATTGCGTAGCTACGTAAGATAGATATATTGCGTAGCTAGATATTCTGTGATAATAGTTTCAGTGAGTAGTTAATACAAATTTAAAAATAAATAAAATAACACAAAGCTTCTAGAATTGTTTTATTTTTGTGTGAATAAATTCGGATATTCTTAAAAATAGGATATTCTTATGATTGAAGGTACCAAATGTTAAAAATTACATTATTCATTGAATCCGTACGCAAGTGTGAAGGGGAATGGCTAGATTCATTATTATACCGTATGGTCGAAAAAAAACGACGTCCACTTGCCTTGTAAATGACGATCGACGACATTCCCCCTATAATTTTACATATAAAATGACAGTGATCTTCATTTCATAGCCATCGCTGACGCCGTCTTTTTTCGATGTCGTTTTGTATAGTTTTTATGTCATTTTATATGTAGAATTATATGGGTAATGTTATCGATCGTAATTTACAAGCCAAATGGACGTAGTTTTTTTTTCGGTTATGCGGTATAATAATGAATCTAGCCAATTCCCTTCACACTTGCTTACGGATTCAATGAATAATGTAATTTTTAATATTCATTTGTGAAATTGTCATTTCCAAACAAACAAGACACCGTTTTTTTCGATCATACAGTATATATGTATATACACGTTTAAAACATATGTTATTACATTATTTTTTATTTAATTATACATTATACACACTTTAATAAATAAATAATTGTCTTGATAATCAATCCACTGTGACTTAAATAAATTTTGCATTATCGACTTAGATATTCTAATATTATAAAGGCGAGACTATAAAATACAAAATTGTATATGCTATATTACTCAAAAATTAACGATATATTGGTTTGCGTTTTAATAAATATTTTGTATCGTCTAGGTACAAGCTAATTTCTGATGCTACGCCTCTGGAGAATTTCGAGTGGTGACAAGTGGCCTCACTTTCAGCTGCCGTGTTACCTTAGGTGTTACCTGTCCCCTTTCTTTCCTTGTCTAAGGGTGCAGCCACACTATCCTAAAAACGGCGTATCGGCGTAACGGCGTAATGACCTTGAATAGATTTCCAGTAATTCTATTGGCTGAAACATTCATCTGTCAGAAATTTTATCTGTCAAATTCATCTGTCAAAAATTTCAGCCAATAGAATTACTGGAAATCGATTCAAGGTCATTACGCCGTTACGCCGATACGCCATTTTTAGGATAGTGTGGCTGCACCCTAAAGCTTGTCGCCCACTTGTCCGGCACAGCACGGACCGTAGCTGCTCGTCGCCTGCAGGCGACGGAGAGCTTGGTCGCCCACTTTGCCGCAGGAAACCGGCAAGCCGTCACGTCGCGGTCGTATGTTGCGAAGATCTTTTTGTTTTAGTTTACATGTAGCAGTGACAGAGTCACTATGTGTGAAAAGCAGCAGTTCTGATGAAGAAGTTATTGTAGCGGCCGCATTTTGGCAGAAGAAGAAGAAAATAAATAGAAGATAAAGAGAAAATGTGGGTCCACCCATTAATCAAAAAGCGGACTGAACGCGGAGAGTCCCATCATTTATTTAACGATTTAATTTCCCTAATTTTTTTTCTTAGGACTGCTTTCTCGGACTTAACAATAACAACTGCCAAAATAATTGCAAAACATATATGCGATCGAGGCTTCCATAAGTTAATGCAGGCCAGCGCCGGCCGGCCGGCTCCGCGTACAGTTGACCGGCCCGTCCGGCACGGACCGTCGTTTGACGGGGAGAGTCGGAGAGCTGGAATCTGTTCCGTCGACGGACTCGCCGTTCCGTGCCGTGACGGGCTAATGTGCGGTAGTCTATTCATTTGCATGGTTTTAATCCTATCCGTATTTTGACGGGCCGGAACGGGACGGGACGTGACGGCCAAGTGGGCGACAAGCTTAAGACAAAGAGTAGATAAGACAAGAGACGACAGTGAACAAAGAAGTCGAATTTCGCGAGAGAGACGCAGATATATTAAAATTTAAAGGTCCCGTCAAGTCCCATTTTGTCTGTTGCCAAGTATATTTCTTTGAAAAATAAACAAGATTTTCTGAAAATAAATTAATAATATAAGAAAGATATAAGTAACGTATGTTAATACGGAAATGTAAATTTTTAGTTTAGCTTGGTTTAGGTTCTTTTTTCGCAATGTACTGATAATATCAAAGAAACAGAATGACTTAAGTTGATCGATTTCAAAGATAAACAGATAAAATCTGAAAATCTGACAACGGCGTATTTTATTTATTCTAATCTATGATTTTAGGACGCTAATCAGCTGTGCTAATCAGGCTTAAACATAAACAAATCTGATTAGTTGTTTTCTTGCATTTTTGCCTTTTTAAAGTGTGTTTTCAGAGATTTTCGATATATTATCGTTTTGAGAGTTTTAAGGTTTAATTTTAGTATCGTTTTTATTGCGTACTAATTTGTAATTATTGTTAAATATGAATACTGAACAGGACACCAGCAGCAGGAAAAGACGAGATGGTGGCAATGTGTGTGCTTATAAAGACTGCAAAAATAGGTCTTATTCTTCGACAAACATAATATTTCACTCTTTTCCAAAGAATCCTGAAAAGTATTTTTATAGAAATATACTATATAATTATGTTATTAAACTAAATGTAATCCATAGATCGAAGACATGGTCAGAAGCTTGTAATCGCGAGGATTTATTAAATAAAAATTGAGCAACTCTATTTTTTTGTACATAAATTCCACATTGTGATATTACACTTGTTCAAGTCCATATGTAAACAAAATGCACGTAAATAAAACATTTCTTACAAATCGACTTGGTCACTTTCTCTTGTTTACCAACGATATACAAAATATTGCTTTTATTATCTTTATTCCCCGACAAATATGTTTCTAATTATAATTTTTTTTTGTTTCTATTTATTTCTTTACCCATACAGTAATTATTTATAAGCTATACAGGCAAGTTTTTATAATAGTCTATTTCAAATTTCCCGGGAAAAAATTACGAAAATTTAAAGGGACAAACGAGACGAGGTCGCTCTCCCCACCACTCAAACATGAAAGGTACCGCGCGAACTGTCGCCTCTTGTCTTATCTACTCTTTGTCTAAGATGCAGAATATGCAGCAAATAATCGTTTCAAGGTCAGCCACCGGATCCACACCTTTACCTATATGTTTATGCTCATTACCCTCAAAGTTATAACTCATAATTGAATTCAAAGCTTTTGCGAATACGTGAATTTCATTTTTTGTTCCAGTTCATTGTACGTACAATAATTTTTAACGGTTGCGACGATAGTTCTCTATATGACATCTAGCAACACTGCTTGTAGCGCACAGTTCTCATGGGGGGAAATTCAAAAAAGAAGAAAACAATATTGAACGCGATATTTAACATGTCTCTGATATTAATATTGAATAAATGAATAATAATAATGCATTCTAATGAATTCATATTGACAGAATATGTACACTCAACGACTCCAACTAATGTTTATTAACATTAGTTATACGTATACATATTAAATTGAAATCAAATAGGAATTTAATTTAAGATGTTTCCCAATATACTTATCAACATTTAATTAGATGTTATTAATTATTCATAAGTATCTAGCTTGGTATCTAGTCTACATACTTAGGTCCAATTAGGCCTACTATGTTTAATATAGCACTATAAAAACAATTGTTTAACTTACCTAAACATCCAGCAATAAAATCAATCACACCATCTTTAACATGATTGCGTTGTTCAGACATCATTAATAAACTTAAATTTGGTTTATGATTATTCTAGTGATCCAAAACACTTAAGTTATTTCCGCAATATTTCTTTAGATAAGAAATATAATTAGATTTAACCAATACTGAATTAGGTCTTACGAAATAGCATTAAGTAGGTTTTTTAAAAATTGTGTAACCTAGTTAGTAGGTTTTTTAAAAATATATTTTAAGTAGAGAAAAAAGTAATATTAATAGATATTTACATATATTTAATTTATTTCAAATATATATCCATACTTTTTTAAAAAATTATGTTTGTTAAAGTTTTTAAACGTCAAAATATGCGGTGCGGTCGCGCGGTGTTGTAAATTGGTTATGTTGACATCATATGTTTGGCAATGTTGGCATGACTGCATTTGTCATTTTCTAACTCATATTGCTCATATATTATACAGATTCGTGGGTACTAGAGAGAATGAGACAACATAACTCTAGAAAAAATTAATACGTGGAGGTTGTCAAAATGACAACGAATGAAAACAATATTAACTATATTTTACTTTAATCGTCCTGAATCAACATTATAATAATAAATACTTACATGACATTTGGGTTTTTGCCTTTATTGTTTGGTTCTTCTAAAATCAGGTATGCTTATTTATAATTAATAATTAGTCTTCATTAAGCATAGTATAGAAAGTACAATCACAATATGTTAGATTACAGTTTACATACAATACAAATACCCTCCTACATACTCAAATAACTAAGAACTGCCATCTAACTTGTTATACTTCTTGTATAACTTTTTAGATAACCTAATATGTGGGGCAATTCAGACCTGGATCCAGGAGGGCAATCGAAGGATACAGTTTCTTCAACACAAGAGTTAAATGATTTAAAAGATCAGAATGAACAACAACTGCTACTTATAACACAATTAAAAGATATGTTAAAAAAAGAGCAAAGTAGTGTCACGCAAGAAAAGGTTGAAGAATATGTCAATACTCTTAATAAATTAAAAGCAAAACGGTCCAAACAAAAAAAAGATGGGTCTAGTTCAACTGATAAAGCCTCTACAAGTAGTTCTGCTAATATTGATGCAAATAAAAAGGAAAGGATAAACTTGTTACGTCAACAATTGGAGGAAAATAAGTATGTTTGTATGAGGGAATTTCATCTATGTTCATTTGCAAGCTGTCTGTACCATGTTTTTCTTCAATCATATAGTATATAAGTAAAGAACAGGCATTATAATGTTTGTTCAACATAACTATTGTTGCATTACATCGTTACATGTGTCTTATACCTAATGTCTATCCACTTACACGAGGAAGATTTCAACATACAATACTGAAAAGTTGACAGAAATAACAGAGACAAACAAAAGTTTGTGTGATTTTTTGAAAATATATATTTTTATGTTTTCATTTTCATGTTTATGTGTTATTAGATAGACATTAGAGTTTGTATAATATACCTATGTATCATATGACACCTAGTTAAAATATGCAGTATGTTTGCTTATTTGTAATAAGGTTTGGATTGTCATAATTGGCATTTTTATTAAGTAAAAAACTATTTTGTTACCAATAGAGGAGCTTTATAGAATAATAATCCAAAAAACACATTTTAGGGCAAGATTAGCTGAAAGAGGTAAAAGTCAAAAGGGTATTGAAGAGATGGTAACTCAACTACAAGCTCAGTTTAAAGATTCTGAATCTCGTATGAATTCAGCATCTCTAAATTTACCATTACAGGAGTCTAAGAATTTGGACTACAATGAAAACACAGCTCAGAAAGATTTATTTAATATATTATTAACTAAAGAAAGGAAACTTACTGAACTTCTTACAAAAAATCAAAAACTTGAGGGAACTGTTATGGACCTGCAAGAAAATTTAAAAGAAAAGGATTCAGTTATTGATGCTAGAACCAAAGCTATAACATTGATGACAGATAGTTTAAGCAAAAAGGGAAAGAACACATTGGACGCATTAGAAGAAACTAAAGATCAGATGAGAAAGATGCAAGAACATTTTGTCTCTTTAGAAAGTGATATGAAAAACAGACAACTAACTTTACTTAATGATTTGAAACTGAAAAATTTTGAAATTAGTGATTTAAAAGAAACCATCAATCAACTAACTAATCAGAAAGTGGAATACGAAGCAAGATTGGCTGATACTGACAGGTTAGTACAATAAAAATTAATATAAATAACTATTACTGGTATTCTTTTTATAAGAAAGAATTTTAGAAATGCCTAATGGTATAAACAAAAAAAAATGAAAAAGTTTGCCTGTACAGTTTTATATAATTTCTTTTAAATTAAGTAGCTAGGTAGTTTAAGAGAGTTACATCATTTTAGAGCAACATCAATTCAGAGCACAGAAAATTCAGAATTGTTATTGTTAAAATCTAGTTTTCATGATCTACAAGAAGAAAATACACGTTTACTTGAGAAAATTAACTATTTGGAAGCATCAGCTATCACATCACATACTGAACAGACTTCTGAAGAGAGAATTGGGGAAATTACCAATAACTATTTAATACAAATTTCTGAACTTGAAGAAAAGTTAAAAGAGGCTGAGAAAATTCAGAAGCAGTTGAAAGAGGAGGACTTCCACAAATTTGATAATAAATTAGATGAGGAGTATTCCAGGATATGTGAGGAAAATAAAAAACTCTTGGAGGAAAAAAATAAAAATATAGAGCAAATTGAAGAACTTCAGAAGAAATTGGAAGAAACTCAGTATGATTTAAATTTATTGAAAAATACTGGTTTGGCAGGAAGTCACTTAAGTGAAACTGGTAAGTTGTTTTATAACATTCATTTGAAATTTGAACATGGTATTGATCAAATTCATGATTCATTATTTAAGGTAAACGTGCATTCGTCAGTGAAACATATGTTTTTTAAAAATTCCCTATCCGTGTTTGCTCTTTCCATCATAATATCAAAACAAAACGCCTGCCGCCGTATTTCGTCCCCATCTCGTAGCTCTTGGTGCTTTTCATATTTGAAGGAATAGTATTTATGTCGTTTCAAAATTCGAAACGCTGTAGTGTGATCTATTCCTAGTTCATCCTCAAGTTTCCTTGTGCTGATCTTTCCATCGTTCTCTTCCACGCACAATAAAACTTCCAAGTCGGTATCATTTCTTGCATCTTCTCTTTGTTCCTGCCTTGCTTCACATCTGCAGTTATTTATTAGGGTACTTTTGGTCTCAAATCTCTGGATATTCCTTGCGATTGTAGATTTTCCAGGTATCGGTCTATTCGGATACAGAGCAGCAAACATGTCCGACACCATTTGATAAATATTTCCTTGATAATACCATTTAATCATCAATACTTTTTCTTCGGTAGTGTAATTTATGGCTAATATTTTCGATGTAGGTATGAGTTTTTAATAATAATAATAAAGCATTAAATAGATAAATTTCTGAAATGACAACTTCATTGACAGTTATCTTTTACCTTGACTGGTGCCATAGATAAAAGAAAATAATCTTCTATTAAGATAGATATGAAACTTAATAGTAAAATTTTGGGTCAAAGCGCCCCTCCGTGTTCTTAGTAGAGACTACGTTTAACCCAGCGCCTTCGCCTTTTCTGCTGTAAATATTTTTTATGTTTATATTTGATTTCAAAGGATTTAGTTTTAAAGTTACACTGATATATTAGTATATCAGAGTAACTTTAATAAAACATAAGAATATATATATATATATATATATATATATTTTACAGTTTATTAAATATAAATTTTGACTACAAGGTAGAAAGTAAATCACAATATTTGATAAAACTTATAAGTATACCATTTTTACAGTTAATAAATAATAAAACTATTTCTAACTATGATATTTAAAATTTAGATAGATAGAATATTAAAAAACATACCGGTATTTGCAGACGCAGACCCAAATTCAATAAAAACCAAAATTTTTCCTGCGAAAATCGGGCTTTTTTCACAGAAAAGGTATTTTTTGATTTATCAACAATCATTGTCAAGTTGACAATATACAGGGTGTGTTCTAATTAGTCTAAAAAATTGTGGTGTGATTCCTCATGTGTTCTTAAAACAATTTTATATAACCATTGGGTCTAAAGTACTTCCTTTCTGATCTACAGTGTGTTAAAAATTAAAAAAAATCGATATTTTGCTTAACATAAATGGTACACTACTGCTTTTTTAAAGAAAATATATTTTTTTCTTAACAGGCCATCCTTTTTCAACAAAATTGATCTTTTGAGTTTTTCTTGTTCATCAAACGGTTGCCGATAAAAAAAACTACCAAACCTAAATAGAATTATTCTCTAAAATAATTAGGGAAGCCAATAATTGACCCCATTAAAATTTACATGGGATTTCCTATGTCCCGCTCGACGATGCAACACCCGGTATACTTTTAACATCTTTACATAATTTTGAAAGAAGTACACATACTTTTGCTCCACATATTTTATATTTTGCGTTATTAAGTAAAACCGAAAAAAAGATGTTTATGATTTTAGAAAATGCCGAGATTAATAAATTAAAGAAGCAATTAGATGAAAGTAATAAAAACATGATAAAAATGAGAGCTACGCAAAAAGGAAAAGTCAAAGAATTGAACAAGAAACTGAATCAATTCAAAAATATGAACGACGCTAATTCTTTAATTGTGCAGTTACAAAATGAAGTTTCAAAGCTGAATGAAAAAATTGCTGAACTGGAAGACGAAAAGGGAAGTATGCAATTAAAGATGGTGGAATCTACTACAAGTTCTAAAGGAGGTGGGTTCAGAAATGTGATGATATCTTTATTTTAATTTTGATGATATTTATTGTAATTTTCCAATATGAATTTATTTGAAGTTAGATATAATTAGGGTATTTTTTTTAGTTATTTTTGAACTTGTTGAGTATATGTATCTTTTTAATTAGGTATATATTTTGTAGTTTAGAAATCATGATATCTTCGGTGAAATGTGCTAACTCCATTAAATTCCTAATTTTTACTTAAATTCCTAATTTAAGGAAAGAAAAAAAACGGTACAAAAAAATGTGTACACATGTAGCGAGTATATTCATGCGTTAATATGATAAATAGATAAGAATTTTATTTGCTGGGGAACAATAAAACTCAATATTTCGTGTTAGTTTATTTTTTTCAGGCATAATAGGGAGATAGCAGATATTCGTCTTGCAGAAATAAGAAATAGAAATATATTTCTGGAGATAGCAACCTTTATTGTTTGAAATTTTGAAAATGGAATTGAATATTACCTAAACATATTTAGAATCATGTATAACCCCAAACCAATGCGGACCAATTGTGTGGACTAATGGTGCCGATTAAGTGACAATGGTCGCGTTCATCAGGACGTAGCGCTACCGCAGCGATCACTAATTTTCTGCTGAACGCGCCGATTAGTTGTGAGCGCTCTGGGATCAGTCGCCATTTCTATCAGATTTAAAATACGCTACGCTACCGATGCATGATGGATTAAACGTCACATACGCCAAATGTCACAAAATGTTTTGGAAAACGAAAACAAAGCATTTTGTTTATTGTTCTCGGTTGACTAATCCCCTCGATTTGTGCCAAAAATGGGTGAAAACAATTTAATATGCAGTACTTATGATTTTGATCTAAAAAGCACGTTCAGCAGGACAACCAATCGATGGTACATCGCTCACTGATCAACTTGTCCTGATGAACGCGACCAATGCTAACAAATGGGGGAAATTGACCAATTTTGCAGAGCCAATGAAACCAGTTAAGGGGAAATTGACAGATTTTGCAAAGCCAATGAAGCCAACTAAGGGGAAATTAGGGACCAATTATGAACCAATTAACGGCTAATGTAAAATTATGTTAGTAAAAACTATGCGCTATCGAGTTCGCAAATCTAGCCGAGTCGACGACAGGGTTGTCAGATTGGACCCTTAAACGCCATTTAGGATATTTTTAATGATTAGTTGACGTTAGCACAAGAAAAATAATTATTTATTGAAGTTATTTACAGTGGAGTGAATACCAAATAATGATTTCCGTTAAATACCTTAATTATTTATTTCAAATTATTTCAAAAATCTGGTCAAAAAATGTTTTGAGGTTGTTTTACTGAGTCTTAGTTGCGTTTTATATTTTAATTACAAAAATCGTGGAGAATATTTTGAAAGTGCAGCAAAGGACCTACCTCAAAAAAATCATATATTTTATTAACAAAATATTCAAATTAATTTTGGAATACTTTTTGTTATTATTTTTGCCATAATTTTCGCTCCTGTAAAATAGCTGTAAGTTTAAAAAGAATTTGACGCTTTGACAATTCACGTCCAGAGAGAGGATTTTGGTGTCAAAGGTTGGATAAAATCTGGCAACCGCGACCAGCACCGGCGTATTGTAAACGAATATAATTCGTACGACGCAGCACGTATTTTCACTGTTTTCTTCTATCCGTTTTGTTTTGGTTTTGTTTTTCTCTCGAACTCAAAAAACCATTTAAGACCAATTATGACAATATTTTTGGGGAAATGGTGAAAATTCTGAAAGACCAATGTGCCAATTAAGAGCCAATATCCAGTGTAGTGTACACAATTTTGGGTCGCGGTTTACCTCTCGTTTTGGCCTTAATGAATATGAAAATAATTTACAAATTAAACTTATTGTTCTTAGAAGATATGTTAGATTTTTTTCTGGATATAGCTCTATATTCTGGAAGAAATCTAGTCAAATGATATTACATTGGCCACTTGCAAATTTGTCGAATTTTTATTGGCAGGATGCTTAGCCTATTTTTTTACGAGAACGGTAGCAGGCCGAACTTGGAAGACAGTGCAGTCGTTATCGGTAAAATAGTTGCGTTATTTTATTATTTTCCTCCTTCATTTTTTAATTTTTATAAATATTATGTCTCATTTACTTTGAAAAACGCTGAAAAGAATAAAAATTGATTAGGTACTTTGGAAATTTTTGTAGAAGTAAGAAATATTATTTAAAATATTTAGAGCACGCCCATGAATTGCTCGTGTATAGATAACTTTGTTTCTCGCCTTACCCCTTACGGATACCCTGTATTTACAGAACGGATCGACGCAGGGTCGGACTGGCCATATAGTATGGCGATTGCCAGACAGGCCCCAGCCTTCACGGGCTCCCCTAATAGTTCATTATTTATTCTTAAATAGCTAAATAGAAATGAAACAGAAAAAAGTAACGGTAATATTCTGAGTTTATCCCCAAAATGTTTTTTTTTTAATTAACAATATTTGCATGGCAATTTGGTTGCTTTGCATTTTGGTTAACCGTGCATTACGGGTAGTTTCCTGATTTCTATACCGGGTGCGTCTCAAAAGTGGCTCACCCCCTATAACTTTTTTATTTTTTCAGATAAAACAACGAGGTTTGGTATGTTAGTATATGACATAAATTAGGATTGACTGACATATTCAATTGTTTTCGGTCAATTCCGGTTTCACCGGAAATGACTACAACTTTTGATTTTTAAATGGCACCCTCAGTATTTTTTTACTTTATTCGATAGAAAATGACACTCTGAATAGAATGGCATATATGTCAACTTCTGACATTTTCGCATATGGTTTATTTGAAATTATAATATGCGGTTCATAACGATAATTTTTGACTCAAAATAACAAGTGTGTGGTATCAAATTATTCGTAAAAAAATGCTTTTTCCAAATATGCTAATAAGCCACCCTCGTTCCATTTGAAAAATTTGAGATATGATTAAAAATACGATTTGGACATCTTTTAAGCGGCCAGGACAAGGCAGTAAAAATATTCGACAATCAAATATATTTTTCCAAGGCTCCTTGATTAAAGAATAGTGTTTTTAACACAGCCATGGCACTCTAGATTGAAATTTAAAATACAATTTGTTTTTGAGCGAATATGTCAAAAGTTGACATATGGTATGTCATTCGATTCAGCATGTTATTTTCTAACGAATAAAGTAAAAATATACCGAGCGTGCCATTTAAAAATCAAAAGTTGCAGTCATTTTTGGTGAAACAGGAAGTGACGAAAAACAATTGAATACGCCAATCAATCGAGACGCACCCGGTATATAATAGAGGAAAATTGACCAAAACGTAAGGCGAAAAAATATGCAAAAAATTGCACTCGGGTCCCTCCTCACAATACCATCCAGGCCCCTCTAGCCTAGTCCGACCCTGGATCGACGTACTGTACTAAAGAAACATACGAGTAAAGAATTCGTTGGAAATTATGGAGATAGCAGCATTTCGGCGGCTATTTCAAATCACTGGGAGTTAGCAGATATTATTGAGTTAAAATAAAAAAAAATAATTGTAAAGAATTTAGCTGCTTTCCATATTTATAGAGTATTTTTTTCTCTTTCTAACGGTATAAAAAAAACTTATTAACGTAAAAAATGCAGTTAGCAGGTTATTACGTTCCACTATAGAATAGGCCTAAAAATGAAAAAATATATCATTCTAAACTTGACCAAAAATTTTGCATCTCAGTGTATTGTTTTTAGATACAAATGAATTAGAAGCACAAATTAAAGAGCTAAATGACAAGTTATTAGAAAAAACAGATGAATTGATAGAAAAAACAAAAGTAGTTGAAATTCTGGAAACTGGTTAGTAAATATGTCATTTGAGTATCAAAAAATATATGCATATTATGTTATTTTAGATATACTTTCTCTAAAAGCTGACTTAAAACTAAAACATGAAGAGCAAATTAAAGTTAGCACACATGTGTCGTCAGAGATGTCATTAATTCAGTTTGAAGAACAAATTGAAAAATTGGAATCTGACAATAAAAATTTGCGAGAAAAATTAGAAGAGTATAAATTATCTACTCAAGATTTGTTAGAAAAATATGAAATTATAAAACGAGAAAAACAAGATCTTACAACTAAGTTAGATAATTACGTTCAGGTAGATTATTTCATATTTTTATATAATATTAGTTACAAAAATATTTTTTAGGAAAATATTGAACTACTTGATAAATTAGAAAAGTTGAGTGCTGAGAAAGTATCATCAGTTGAAAGTATTGAAATAGTTGAGGGTTTAACGCAACAAGAAAAAATTGAATTAGCCGCTTATCAGAAACATGTTAATCCAGAAGGTAAGTTTAGAAATCTATTTTTATTCAAACATGGCAAAAATATATTGAAATAACAGCCCGAGGAAGAGATGAAGAAAACTTCTCCAAAAAGTCACTGCTTTTTGACACGTTGGCACAACTGGAGCAGTCGCGTCTTGTCAGTAGAGGAGCGAATTCTAGTTCCTTGGGAGGAACTAGTTCCTTAGTTCTAGTTCCTCCAGAGGAATAGTTCCTTGAACTAGGTCTTTAGTTCACAATAGTTCCCGACTAACATTGACATCCCCCTTGCTTGCTAATGCGTTTCGTTGTCAGTCAGAACTATTCACAGTATGATCTGTATAATTTTTATAATGTACGGAGATATAACGAGAGGAATGAAACGCGCCGGCTGTGGCAATAGATAAGGCCGAATCCATCGTCGTCGCCTTGTATTATATCTCGGATCTGCCGACTGAATAGATTCCCGTGAACTAGTCTTTTAATAGTTCCTCTATGTCCGGATCCGATAACATACGGCTGGCACTCCCCACGCCTGCCTAGCATCAATTGCGCTGGCTGATCCATACGTAAACTAGTCTTATTTAGTTCCTCTAGTTCCTTTAGGTCCGGATTCGATAACATACGGCATATGGCTGGCACTCCCCACTCCTGCCTAGCATCGATCGCGCTGGCCCGATTCATACGTACGTAAACTAGTCTTTTATTTAGTTTAGTTCCTCTAGGTCCGGATCCGATAACGTGCGGCTGGCACTCCCCACTCCTGCCTACCGTCGGGCTACGCGCGCTAGCCGATCCGTCGCCGTGGCATATCATTCTATATCGGTCACAGTCTCGATCCCGGAATAGGTCCTGAGGAACTAGTTCTTTGAGAAACCAGGAACTAGTTCCTTTCATTCCGGGGTCGGAATAGTTCATTGGAACTAGTTCGTTCACGAACTACACATCTCTACTTATCAGTGCTCCACTAGCATCTCAGGTTTGCTCTCTCGAGTCCTCAGTGATCCCTGTTCAGTATCAGTTCTTGTGATCTTCTTCTCATATGTGTACCATAGTTGTCATAAACAAAAATGTAGGAGAACAAAAGAACTTGAAAAATATATAATTTTCAACTTTATTTTTGAAACATGAAACGTTAGAACTCAGACCTCGGTACTAAGGTTGAAAAATATTATTATAGTCTATAAAATGAATAACTTTGAATTTTGACCGTTATTTTTTACCAACATGGTAAATATAAAATCCCTCTGTCAAAAAAGTTACTGATATTCTTTAAATTGAGTGCCTTCAAATCTCAAGAGAACAAATCAGTTAGGTAACTCTTTTTTCTTTCGTGAAATAGAAAAGGAAAATAATAAAACAAGTGACAGTTCTTCCTCTTCTTGCAAAAATCAACACGAAATGTCATAATTGACAAAAGTAAAATGTCATCAGCTTTTGACATTTCTAAATATTAGACCAATGCCGTCCCTAATAGAACAGCCACAGAGCGAGATTTATGACGTCACTCTAGTTAGATACTACGGATTAATAAATATGTTGTAGAATACATTGAAAACATAATTATTACTTGTATTTTTGGTTTGTATTTTAAAAATGATATAGTTTACATGAAATATACATAATATACAGTTAATAAATAAAATATAATATATACCTATTTATAGTAATAAATACTTTGGCAAATAAACTATGAACCATACAAATGCAGCAAATGTTTTACAATATACAAATAATGAATAGGTGGTACATAAGATAATGGGTAAAATGTAAAATATATATATTTTAAATTTTGGGGTTTGAAAATCGATCTAATTTAACAAAAAACATTCAATATATAACTAATAGTGATGTATTATTATTGGCATTCACAAAATTTATTTATATATTATAATGTTTACTGCAATTAATAAACTAATATAAACTTGTCAAAAGATGACATATTTTTTTAAATTATTATTCTTAACACAAAAACTATCTACATTGACTATGGAGTACGATTTCAGCCATATTGTAAAACATTTGCTGCATTTGTATGGTTCATAGTTTATCTGCCAAAGTATTTATTACTATAAATAGGTATGTATATATATTGTATTTATTAACTGTATATTATGTATATTTCATCTAAACTATATCATTTTTAAAATACAAACCACAAATACGAGGAATAATTATGTTTTCCATGTATTCTACAACATATTTATTAATCCGTAGTATCTAACTAGCGTGACATAAATCTCGCTCCGAGGCTGTTCTATTAGAGACGGCATTGCGTCAGCATGGCCGCAAGTTGCTAACCTAATAAAATTAACGCTAGAAAAGCCCGCGGAAACTGTCAAATTCAAAAAGTTATTCGTTTTACAGACTATAGTTAAAATTATTATTATTATTTCCTTCACGACCGAATCGGTTTCTTGAAGCAGAGGGAGCTTCACAAGTTCCAGATCTACAGCTACTGCGACAAATATCGACGGATAATATGGCATGTATCTAAAAAGGCTGCCTTTTGTATAATCCCTGTTTTTTTTATTTAACTCTATTTTCTCAAGATTTTGGCACAGATACTCAATGAACTGTTAACCAATTTGTTTTTCTTCTGTCTATAAGTAAAAATTGACTGACATTTTTTATATTTTTAGAGACAGGAAAATTCCGCGAGGATGAATCTTCGGAGCCTCCCGTCGAATTAAACGAAAGTGTATTACAATTAAGCGAAGATACTGCTGAATTATTGCAAAAAATCGAAATGTTTACTCAAGAACGAAAAGAGGTTATGCAGAAAATGGATTACCTGAGGAATGAAAACGAATTATTACATTTAAAGGTATTGTTAAAAACATTCAACTGACATTTCGAGAGTTTTGGTGATACAGAAGCGATGCATTAGAAATATTTTCAAGCTTCAATATCGACAAAGTTTAAGAAAACATTTATTGAAAACAACATTTGTTGTTTGAACAATTTGTTGTTCATTTTTTCGTTTGTTCATTTGAACAAATTGTTGTTCTGATAATTTTTTGGACGCGGTTGAAGATTTTGCAATCATTTTTGGGGCAAAAGTTGTCCCCCTCACAAACAAAATTGACGATGGGCCACCCTGTATATTGAAATATATACAATTTATAAAAGCTGAATATTATTGTTTTTAGGTAAAGGAGATAGAGAACAATAAGGACATTTTGGAGGAAACTTATGAACAATTACAAAATGAGAAAGACGATTTAATATCTGAAAACCAAAAGCTTTTACGAAATATTGAAATTGCGTCTAATGCAAATAATACTGTAAATATAACCTTTGATCATACTATTGTTTCTGACTAAAATTCTATATTATTTTAGAAGGAAGGGGCATCTGCAGAAATTTCAGATTTGGAGCTACAAGAATTACAAGAACGATGCAAAATACTCACTATTGAAAATCAAGAAATGATAGTCAAAATTGATGAATCTAAACATTTGTTAAAAGAAAAGCAGGAATTGGAATCTAAATTAAGTAAAGCATTAGAAGAAAATGGCCATATTCAACAGAAAATTCTTTGGTACGAGGAGGAAATAGATACTTTTAAATCTATAGTTAATGACAATAAAAATGAGCTAATGTCATCTGCTGATAAAGTAAATAATCTACAAAATGTATGTGATGATAGGAAACGAAATATTGAAGAACTCAATGAAAATATAGAATATCTTCATAATATCATAAATGATCTTCAGGGAAAAAATAATGATTATGAACAGATGGAGTCTGAACTACAAAATCTAAATATAACGTTAACTGAACAATTAGCGCACACAGCTGAATATCAGAAGGATATATTAACAAACAATGACATTATAGAGAATCTTAACAAAGAACTTGCAAACTTACATAACAAAATTCTTGAGTACGAAAATGATCTTGAAATTAAAGATAACGAAATTAAAGAATTGAAGAACAGTATAATTAATAAAGATGAAACTATGAAAAGCTTGCAAAATGCAATTACTGAGAAAGACAACAAGTTTAAAATTCTCCATGAAGAACTAAAACAAAAATATATAGCATTACAACAACAATTAGAAAACAGTGACAATTCGTTAGAAAAGCAGCTAAACGAACTTTCAGGGAAAAATAAAGAACAGTTGGAAAAAATGAAAAAGCTAGCAGCTAATCTAAAGAAGAAAACACAAGCTTTTCAAGAATTAGAGGAACGGTATATTAATGAAATAAAAGAATGGGAAATACGTTTAAATAATGTTACACAAATGTCAGAAGAGAAAATTACATCTTTGACAAAACAAATAAAAGATCTTGAAAATCAATTGCAAGTTAAGTCAGAGGAAAATGTTGTAATTCAGAACGAAATATGCACGCTAAAACGGGATATTGAAACTCTGAAACAAACAAACACGAATCAACACAATTCAGTTAATTTACAACAAGAATTATCTGAGAGTTTGCATGAAGATATTAATATTGTTTCTAATACCATACCAGACGAAAAATTAAGAGAATTAGAAATGCTTTTAGAAACTAAAGACATTGACATTAGCAATTACCAGGAAAGGATTGAGAAATTTGAAGAAAATATTAGTATTCTTCAGAATGATAAGTATAATCTGGAATTGAAAAACAACGAACTAGCGGAAAAACTTAGTTCTATTTCGAATAGCTGTAATGAAACCATTTTGCTGGAACATAAACTCTCAGAGCAGTTACAAGAAATAACAATAATTAATAACAGCCTCTCCACTAAATTAGAGGATGCTGAAAGAAAGTTAGAGGAAACTTTGATAAAGAATACAGAAAACGAAGAACTTATTAAAAAGTTAAAAGTAAAACTTAAGAAGGCACACGAGGGAGTGACAGAATTGAAAGTCTTCCAGGCAAATGTTCAGGAACTAGAAAATCTCAACGAAAATTTGAGGCATCAAATTTCTACATTAGAGTCTCACCAAAAACAAATTCAAATTGAAAATGAATCCTTGCAACAAAGAAATAATTCAGATTACGAAAAAATTGAAACAGACTATCAAAGTCAGTTAAATGAACTATTAACAGCGAAAAATGATCTACTGATAGAAAATGAAAAGTTGTCTGAAAAAATTAAGGATTTCCTTAGTAATGAGCAAGATTTAACCTCAGAACTAGATCAATGCAAATTTAAGCTCGTAGAGTGTGAACAGAATTACAACAAGATTATTAACCAGCTTGAAACTGAACTCAGAAATTCGCGGGAAAATATTAGTTTATCTGAAGCGGAAAATAAAAATATGAAACAAACGCTAGATGAAAGCAGAAATGAACTGAAAAACTCGCTTATTGAAATCGAAAATCTGAATAAGTCACTGTCTGAACTCAAAAATCAATTGACGTGTATAGAAGAAGAAAAAGCAAAGATGGTATCTGAAAAAACTGATCTGAGTAAAAAATTATGTGATGCTAACGAGACAGTTTCGACAAGCATCAGCGAAATAGCAAACCAGTTAGAATCATTATATGAAGAGCATTCAACTTTACGAAGTGAAAATGATAAATTAAAAGAAAACATTCAAGTTTTAGAATTTGCTAAATTTAGTTTAGAAGCCTCATGTGAATCTGCTATTAAAGATACAATAGACAATACTACACAAATAACAGACACTCCTCAACAACTTATTTTGGAACAAATAGATGTTAAAAAAATAAAGCAGAGTCAGTCTATAGAGCACAGCTTTAATAGACCTGAGCCAAATGATCCGCAACCGTTTTTAGCTAGTAACTTCTTTAACCAAATACCTCAAATTGAGAATGTTTTTGATAATTTGAATGTTACACATGCCCAAGGATATGATAATGATGGCATACATTTGGAAGGACCTTCCACTACTGAAGCTATTCAAACTTTAAGTAACATGGAAAGCATAGAGAAGGATACTGAAAATCGACATTCTCCAGTAATAGAAAATAATAGTGAAGCTCTGTTTAAGAAAATTAAAGCTTTAGAGTTCTTATTATACAGTGTTGATAAAGAAAAAGAAATTGCATTAGAGCAGTGCATTGAGATGACTAAAGAACTTGCCCAAATTATTATTCAAAAAATGGACCTCAAAGAACAAAATGTTGATGGACCGCAAATAATATCAGATGATGATGTTGCAATAGTTAAACGTGATCTGCAGGCACTAAAGAAATCAGAATTGAATCCAGAAACATCTCATGTTGGCGAACATATATTACCTATTCAGGAAGAACAAGTTGTTCCGAAAAAAACAAACAGTCTTTTGGATCAGGACAGTAGAGAGCATAAGAAAGAAGGCAATGAATTAGGAAATGTTGAATCGCAGATTTTATCTACTGATGATATTAAGGATATATCTAATAGTAAGAAACTGCAAAAATTGGAATTTCAGGAAGTTGATAGTAATGTCGGACAACAGCAACAGCCAGTTGTAGAACCATTAGCTCAACCAAAGCATGCATATTTATGTTACACGAAAGACGATAAACCCCAAAGTTTAGAGGCCTTTGAAGAAAACGATGATGGGTGGGGTTGGGGTCCTGAAGAATCTAAGCTTGATGAAGAATATATTAACACTATGGAAAATATTCCGCAAATTAAAAAATTACTCTCCGAAATTCAGCAGTTAAAAGAACAGATCAAAGTCCTCCATCTAGAAAGGGAAAACCACTTAGAGGAAATTAAACAGTTACAAATAAAATCTGGCAAACTTATTAAAAAATGCAAAGAATTGAAAGCTAAGAATGAGCAAACAGGTACAACAAAAAAACAAACGGACGTTGGCTTCTTTGATTTAAACGAAACTATCCAAGAAGAACTTAAAAGCCAGATTCAACAGCTTGAAAAGAAAATTCAGGAAGTTGGACGTGAACTCGAAAAAGAAAAATCGGAGAAAAATAGTTTGATGAAGAGAGTTGACATCCTAACTTCTGCTAATGAAAAAATGGTGGAAATGAAAGAAATTCAAGATTCCGAGCTATTTAGATGGCAGAGAAAACATAAAGAAGTACTTGAAAAATTACAGGAATTTGAATGGAGCGAAGGTGGTTTTGATAATGAGCGGGAACTTCAAATTAAGGAACAACAACCTATAATAGAAAACTCAGAAAGCAGCGGCAAAATAAAAGAACTTGAAAACACAATTAAAGAGTTAAGTTTAGACAATGAAGAGCTTCAAGCTCTTTTGGAGGAACAAACTACACAAAGGATTGAGGCTGAAAAAGAGAAGGTAAACGCTATAGATTATAAAAACCTAGCAGATGTGGTTCAAGGCTTAGAAAAAGAACTTAACGAAATGAGACTCAAGCATTCTGGCGTTAGTAAGGAATTATATGACGTTCAAAAACAAAACGAAACTCTGAAAGAGAAAATAGATATACTTTTAAAATCTTTACAAGATAAAGATGATGAAATAGGTAAACTAGAAAAATCGATATCAACAGCCCAAACAAATGATTACCGTACTGAATTTGATAATTTAAAAACTGAAATTTCAAATTTAAGATGTCAATTAGATAATCAGATTGTCGTGATAAAAGAGAGAGATGATATAATTGTCAATTTACAAAATACTCTTGAGGAATATAATCTAAATAAATCGGAACTAGATAAAATTATTCTTGATCAAAATAATGAATTATTATTAAAAACAGAAGAAATTGAATCACTGAAAACTAATCAGCGTGTCAATCCAGATATTAGTAATTTAGAACTTCAAATTAATGAATTAAATGACTTGGTACAGAAAAAAGAAGAGGCAGTAATAAACTTAAATATATCATTTAATACAATAAAATCCGAGAACGATGTATTACAAGAGAAGGTAGCAGAATTAAATGAACAGCTGAATTTGAGAATAGAAGAATTAAATAAACTTCGAGAAGACAAAGAAGAAGTATTATATACTCTGCAAAGTAAAATTAATGAAACCGAAAATATACAGAAATACGTTTCTACATTAGAAAAATCACTAAGCCAATCTCAGTTGCCAGAATATAAAGAAACAGAAAAACCAAAAACTGAAAAATCTGATGAAGCACAAAAACTTATAGAACAAAAGTTATTAGACGACGTTAGTTTGAAGACAAAAACAATTGAAGATTTATCCGCGGAATTAAAGGGAAAAAATGACGAAATACATATACTTCAAAAAGAGCTTGAGAATAAACAAAAACAATTTGAAGAACAAATTAATATTATAACAAATGAATTAAACGAAAACTGGCAGCTGCAAGTTGAGCAACGCGGAAATGACGTCGCTGAAAGTTGGAAAATGCATTTAGATATGATAGAGAAGGAATATGAATCGGTCCAAGAAAATTATAAATTAAATATTTCAGAACTAGAAGAAAAATGTAATATTCTAACTAATGAAAACGTTCAACTGAAAAATAATTTACATCATGATAGTATAGTGAGCAAGGCTGTCAACAATCAAGATGAAGTAGCGTCGCTTTCTTTAATTATTGACGAAAACAAGAAACATATAGAGGAACTTGAAAATAAATTATCAGACTTTTATTTAGTGCAGAATGAATTAGAATCAACAAAAAGGGAAGTTATTGAAAAAGATGCTAAAATAAACAGCATAAACATAATAATCGAAACAACACAAAAACAGTTCGACGAAAAACGTGAAGTAGTAGAAGAAGTAGTGTCCCTGCTAGAACGAAATGCTTTATCTCCTATATCTTATGAAAAACAAGATATACTGCTAGAATTTCAAAGACAACTCAATTTAAATAGTGAAAAAGATGTCGAAATCAATAGATTAAATGAAGCTGTTACTACATTAGAAAATAATTTATCTAGACTGTCTGGCGAAAAGGACAGGGAAATCACTGGTCTTAATCAAGTTATAGAAGACCTAGAGAAAGAACTTAGCATTATACACATAAAGGAGTCTGAAATTGTGAAGCTTTCTACGCAACTACACACATTACAGAATGAAAAAGAACAATTACAAACACAAATAAACGTTTTGCAGACCGACAGTGATGGCAAGTTACAAGAATTTGATAAGTTGTGGCAGGAACAAACAAATTTCCAAGTTGCGATAGATAATTATAAAGAAAAAATTGGTGATTTAGAGAATACATGTTCTTCTTTGCGAATGGAAATAGATGAAAAAAATCGCATTATAAACGACCTCAATCGGCAGTTGTTACAAATTCAAACAGATGCTAAGAACGATAATAACAAACAAATAGAGATGCTAACAGGAGACATAATTAGAGCTAAAGAAGAATGTAACAGTTTGCAGGTAAGAATTAACAAGGACATACAATAATATCGTTCATAAATTTTACATATGAAATGAGAGGACATTCTTAACTATTGATTAATAATTCATATTTTTTTATTTTACCTTTTAACATTTTACCACAGACTAACCTAAACAGATGCGACAAACAATGCAAATGTGAAAATTACATTTTGGCGAATGCGCCAGGCAAATTTTTCCGTTAGATTTGTCATATAGGCGAATTTTACAGCGGACCAGCAAAGTAAACTCCATTCGTTTACTAAGAAGCCACGCCTCCTTTGTGTAGAAAATAGAGAGGGAATTTTGTAGTTCGGAATCAAATAGAGATGATTTTAATTTCATTAGTTTTTTTTCAATTTTTGATACATTCACAATCTAGACCTACTAATATATAAAATTCTTAAGTGACTGACTCACTGATTAATCACGATCCTGCTCAAACCACTCAACGTAAGAAGCTCAATTTTGGCATACAGGTTGATTCTAGGGTGTAGAGGTTCGAAAAGAAGAAATTTTTCGAAATTCCAGTTCCAAGGGGGTGAAACCATCCCTCAAATATTACAATATTTTTTATTTAAAAAACGGTCAAGTTTCCGAAAAACGCTTAAACACGTATATGTTATTTTGTTTTTTTACCTAATTTAAGATTTTTTAAAAATGTATACAGGGTGTTTCGAAAAATCTGGTCATTGATTAATCACGATCCTGCTTAAAGCGCTTGACGTAAAAAGCTGATTTTTGGAAAACGGATTGACTTTAGGGTGTAGAGGTTCGATAAGAAGGGATTTTTCGAAACTCGAATTCTAAGGGGGTGAAACCACCCCTCAAATATTAGAATATTTTTTATTTAAAAACCGATGAGTTTTTCGGAAAAGCTCTTAAAACGTATATTTTATTTTGTTGTTTTACATATTTTAAGATTTTTTAAAAATTTATACAGGGTGTTTCATAAAATATGACCATTGAGTAATCACGATTTTGCTTAAACTGCTTGACGTTAAAGCTGATGATTTTTGGCAAACGGATTGACTGTGGGGTGTAGAGATTCCATAAGGAGGGGTTTCTCGATTCCAAGAGGGTGAAAATGCCCCTCAAATATTACAATATTTGTTATTTAAAAAACGGTTAGTCTTTCGGGAAAACGCTTGGACACGCATAATTTATTTTGTTTTTTTACATATTTTGAATTTTTTTAAAAAATCATACTGGGTGTTCCAAAAAGTTGGGTAATTGATTAACTACGATTCTGCTTAACTGCTTGACGTAAAAAAAATTATTTTTGACAAACAGATTTTTCGAAAGTCAAATTCCAACGAGATGAAACTACCCGTCAAATATTACCAAGTTATATAATAATATCGCCATATTGTTTTTTCTCAGGCTCAGGACATAAATGTGAGAACATTTTATCCAGTTTGTATGTTAATGGAAATTTTTGAAAATTCCTCATCTCGGGGATGATATAGGGGTGAAAGTTGGTATGAAAATTTATTACTACCTGGCATAGAAGTATAATATTTTTACAAAGTTTATGTAGTTAATAAGTCGATTATTTGATCGAACTGTATGTCTATTCGCTTTTTTCGTATTAGAAAATCTAGGTATTTTCGGAAAAAAACACCCACAGTTTTTGATATAATTTAGTCCTAGAAAATCTAAAAAATGTATCTTCTTCAGTTTTTAGTGTTTTCTCATCCATTGAATGCACATTTTTTTAAAAGCATTTTAAATAAAATCAAAACAAGAAACTTAAACTGAATAGCTGAATTAACTAAAACAATACTAAGAACACCGTGAACTAACTAAATGTAAACCAACAAAACCCAACAGAAAATTAAAATCGGAAACAGCTAATAATAATGATGTATGTAATATCCATGTGAAACAACTGAAGAAACTGACTTAAAAATCCTCTGAAAGCCTTCAATATTCCCATCTTAGATTCCCATATTCTTTTCTAGGACACTGTTGCCAATTCTACTTACCAATTTGTATAAACTATATCGGTATCACGGCACATGCAAACAATATGCCGTGTCTGTATCATAAAAGTACCTATTTGCTATATAAAAGATCAGCTGCTAAATTTTAAATCAATTTAAAATATCAAATAAAATGATAGTAGTGCATAAAACTATTAACAAGCAGGATATAAAAATAATTAAAGATAATTTAAGCTGTCTAATAGTAGATAGACTTTAGATTAATATTTGAAATTAACAGCTGGAAGTACAGCTAAATACAAACGGCAAGCTGACAACAAAGATCCTATTCTTTAAAATTTTATATTTCTGATATTTTATATCATTTTTAATTTTAAAGATATCGTCATTTTCTTTATACATATGTATTGATCTTAACCCATTGTTAAAGTTTGTAAATTTCTCATACTTTACAAATAAATATTAGCTGATATTTCCTAACATCATGTAATTATAGTTATTTATTATTATCCAGGAGAAAGCGCTAATACAAGTACATATAATATTTAATTCTCACATAAAAAATCAAGCTGGCAATCTCGCTTTGACTTTATAATCGTACGTCGGCTGCGACGGCCAGACGAGGGCGGCGCGGTGTATCAAAGGCAAGGTTAAATGCGAAAAGAACGAAAGAAATGGAAGCTTAGAGAAGGGGGTGTGCGGGAACGATTTGAAGTCACCACGGCTGTTTGTTTGGCCGAATATTTTGCCTTCATCGACGGTATCGCCGCTCTGTCGTCGCACTTCCGAACATAGGTCTTTTTGAACACAAAATTTCCCATAAGGTGTCGCATCTGTTTAAGTTAGTTTGTGATTTTACTTAATATTCCAAATTTATCAGAAGAAATATGTGTTGGCAGAGATTATACAGGGTTGTTCCCCACATACGACACGAGTATTGTAGCTAAACGATTATATTTTTACAAATTTCAAGTTTTGGGTTCGATGAAGGACTATTAGAGGTACAATTTAAAAATAATTTTACAAGATACAGAGTGTCCCAAATAAGTAAAAAATATCAAAGTTGTATTTTTTTAAATGGAACACCCTGTATATTATTACATTTTTAGTTTCTACGATTAAAATAAAGGTAACTTTGATTAAGGTTTATTATACTTAAACCTTACCGTTTTTGAAATATTTTCAATTTTGTAAAATTGCAGTATAAATTTTAAGGCTTCATTTCTCCGAGGGTATCAAAGTTTTTAATACTAAATATTTACTGAAGTTTATTTATTGATCAGTTATTGTGTTGCAATAATAAAAATAATACTACCTTATACAGAGTGTCTAAAAATTTATTTTAAATAATTTCTAGCTTTAAACGCCAATAACTTCTTTAATTTAAATGGAACGCCCTATATATTTTAGAAGAATCAGATGCACAATTTAATTGTCTATCAAATTGTATTATACCATTTTTACTTATCCTTTCAAGTTTTCGTAGAAAATGCATTTTCTTATAATTTAGACCTCATTTATCAATATACCCATGGAATATTGACATTTTATTATTGACACCTATGGAATATTGACATCATATATTGACGTTCTAGTAATATTATCGTTTTGCTAAAAACGATAATGTTGTATGCAAAAAGAAAACTATTTAAATCTTTATAAAAGAGTATACCATTAATTAAATATAACACCATTATTTCCGCCCATATACTAATTAATTACATACTTAATTGTATTCGTTAATAAATTATTTTAAATAAATGTGGATTTGAGTCAGAAATCAATATAATATTAAGTTATCAAAATTAAAGTCTCTGTTGTTATAAATAAGCATTTATTAAAAAATGAAATATCATTTTTAAGGTGTTACTTTCTATCACACTGTCTAATACCCATACAAAATTCAATTTTTTAGTATTTGGAACAATTATTAATGCAGTTTGAATACTGAAATCATATTAATTGGTCCCCTTTAACAAATATTTAAACAGTTTTTTTTTATTTTTTTTAATGAAATAAACGAATTATATCCACAATATTAGTATCTGTACTCTTTAAAAATTTGGTACATCTTTAAAAATAATCTAAAATATCAATATTCCATGGGTATATTGATAAATAAGTTCTAAATTACAAGAAAATGCATTTTTTACGGAAACTTAAAGAGATAGGTAAAAAATGGTATAATATAATTTGTAGACAATTAAATTGTGCATCTGATTTTCGTAAAATATACAGGGTGTTCCATTTAAATTAAACAAGTTATTGCCATTTGAAGCTATAGTCTGTCCAACGAGAAGATCCCTGACAGTGATAGATGTGTCTATCATTTTAATTTCAAAGTAGTTTATTTTATTTTACAAAGAAATAAGTTGGTACTGGAACGCATAGCAGGAAATTATTATATTTAAAATTTGACTGACAAGTGATTACTTCAAAATATTGTGAAAAAAACTGTATAAAACTGAAAAAATGTAATCGAGTTATTTAATTTAATAAAAAACGGTATGTGTTAATACAAAACAAACAAGAACAAGACACCACATACCAAAAAAATATAAAAAAGAACTATTTCTTACTTTCAAGCTTTATGAAACTTCCCGCATTTATGATTATATTTATCAATATAACATATGTACACATACAAATTTGTAATATTCAGCAGGAATAAATAAAACAACATAAATAAAACAAACTATTTTATTATTAATAACACTTACCAAATTTTATAGGTACCTTAAAGGTAGATTAATTAACTTTAATCATAATTTTTTAAACCAGTACCTTTGGCATTATTTTTCTTGTGCAGTACTAAAATTCATTATTTACGTATCGTGTGATGTCGATATTTTACAGCTACCTACTCCAGTTTTTAGTATGTGTTTAGTATGGTCCTTTTACCATATTCGAGATGCACTTATCTACGACGAGATGGTATACGAACTTTAATGATGGTAACTTTATTGGTGTATAAAAGTTTTTGCCTAGGCAGCGAGTATTAACCATAAACTGTGCTCTGGATCTACAGTTAATTTTCACTCGATTTTTCCTCCACTTGATTTCAAAAGACACAAAACACACGTAATAACAGGAATCAAAATGCATCATCTTCCAAAACGCAGGGTATTTGACAAAACTGACAAAAGTTGACACAAAATTATAACCTCTAATTTAGCAAGACTTTGACAACCGTCAAAAATCTAAAGGCGAGTTCATACGCATCGGCGTCCGTTTGTCGTTCATCGTTCCGGCAAACCATAAAATTGAAATACGATCTGTCATTTTTGAAATAAACCAATAAAACTGGTTAAAAACAACAAGAGACGACGCATGACGGATTTATATTTAAACCCATCCATAGTTAACTTAAAAATTATTGGAAACTTTTTTTAGTAAAATAAATATATTGGTATGGGACGTCATCTGCTTTTCTTCTGTCATCGTCTGTCGAAATCTTACCTGAGAAAAAAAACAGAGTATAATAATTATTTAAAATAAATTTTTAGACACTCTGTATAAGGTAGTATTATTTTTATTATTGTAACACAATAACTGATCAATAAATAAACTTCAGTAAATATTTAGTATTAAAAACTTTGGTACCCTTGGAGAAATGAAGCCTTAAAATTTTTACTGCAATTTCACAAAATTGAAAATATTTCAAAAACGGTAAGGTTTAAGTATAATAAACCTTAATCAAATTTACCTTTATTTTAATCGTAGAAACTAAAGATGCAATAATATACCGGGTGTTCCATTTAAAAAAATACAACTTTGATATTTTTGACTTATTTGGGACACTCTGTATCTTGTAAAATTATTTTTAAATTGTACCTCTAATAGTCCTTCATCGAACCCAAGACTTACAATTTGTAAAAATCTCATCGTTTAGCTACAATACTTCGTGTCGTATGTGGTGAACGACCCTGTATTATTATGTGATATATATTGATTGTTATTTTCTAGAAAACGGCTTTTGAAAGGGAATCACAGATTAATGATTTATCCCAACAATTAGCAGAAAAAACTCGTGATTTGGAAGTAACGCAACAGAACATGCAATTTTATCAAAGCCATCAGAGTGTACATGAGGAAGAAATGAATAAATTAAAATTGCTTTTACAACAACGAGAACAAGAATACAATAATTCCCTTGAGATGTTGAAAAACAATCAGTTGGCTGACATTCAGAGGCACTATGATGAATTGCTTTCAAATAAGGATATAGATAATCAAATGTTATATGCACAAGTTCAAGAATTACTTAATGCCAATAAAGAATATAACGAAAGGTTAGAACATTATAGAAGATTTTTAATAAGATATTTTATTTATTTTTTCAATTTTTAATTAAAAAGTACTTCCGTCGGTTAGTAGTGTAATATAATATTATCTAATTAATTGTTTCCCATTAGATTAAGTGAAGAATTATCTGCAAAACAAGATTTAGAAGGGAAACTATCTGAGCAAACCCAGTTGGTAGATGAAGATACAAAACAACTTGAAGAACTGAAGTTGATAATAGAAGATCAGGAAACTAGAATTACCCAGCTGAAGAAAGATCTTTATGACAAAAGCAACCAATATGACAGCTTAATTGCGGAAATGGATTTAAGTAGGCAGCCAGTTACCCAGCAACCTTCCTCATCTTCAGTAATACAGGTAATATTTTATAGATTGTGAAGTTATCATAATATTGTGAAGAATATCATTAATTTAAAGTTCATAGTTCTATCATTCAAATATTTGATTCCAGTAGCCTTAAATAACTATTCTTCCGTGCGATCGAAAAAACAGCGTCAGTGTTAGTGATGGGTTGTTATTTAACTATCTGTTATTTTATAACAATTATTTAGAAATAACATAACGCAACCGTTGCTACTTTTAAAAAATAACAGATATAAAATAACGATACGCAGAGATCGACCGTTCGTGAAACGAAGTCGGCGCTCTGCACCGCCACGAAATTCGATGCTGCTCGAAGCAATTCCAAAAAACAACTAGTATGGATTATGGATGGAAAGCATGTTATTTCGACAACCATCGATACAGGCGGCGAGATACAACCGACAACGGAGGGGGGAATGCGCTACGGCGCGGCGCGGCGCGGCGAACGTAGCTGCACCGGTCGATGGTCGTGTGGGGCTTGCAACAGCTTAAAAATAATAGGATATAAAAGAAGCAGCTTTTTTGAAACAGTTGCGGGCATAACGCCTGGCGGTCGAGATAACAGGAGTGGGAAAGGAACGCTCCTGCATCGGTCGATTGTCGATGGAGGCTCGCAACGGGTTGGAGAAGCAGTCATTTTAGATCCGTTGTTTTTTAACCTGTTACGAGCATAACAGAACGGCGGTTGAGATAATCGGAGTAGGAAAGGAACGCTGCTGCATCGATCGATTGTCGACGGAGGTTCGAAACAGGTTGGAGAATAACGCATCAGTTGTTTTAGATACATTGTTTTTCAACCTGTTACGAGCATAACGGGCGGAGGTCGAGATATTATGGCGCTGTATGTTTCAGTACTTACTTATTAAGTTTCAATATTTAGGTATTTATTTATTCTGAAAAATTTTCAGAATAATATGTTAAGATTTTTTAAAAATGTATACAGGGTGTTTTGAAAAATCTGGTCATTGATTAATCATGCACGATCCTGCTTAAAGCCCTTGAGTAAAAAGCTGATTTTTGGAAAACGGATTGACTTTAGGGTGTAGAGGTTCGATAAGAAGGGATTTTTCGAAACTCGAATTCTAAGGGGGTGAAACCACCCTCAAATATTAGAATATTTTTTATTTAAAAACCGGTGAGTTTTTCGGAAAACTCTTAAACACGTATATTTTATTTTGTTGTTTTACATATTTTAAGATTTTTTAAAAATATATACAGGTGTTTCATAAAATATGAGTAATCACGATTCTGCTTAAACTGCTTGACGTTTAAAGCTGATTTTTGGCAAACGGATTGACTGTGGGGTTGAGGTTCGATAAGGAGGGGTTTCTCGAATCTCAAATTCCAAGAGGGTGAAAACGCCCCTCAAATATACAATATTTGTTATTTAAAAAAGGGTTAGTCTTTCGAGAAACGCCTGGACACGTGTAATTTATTTTGTTTTTTTACATATTTAGAATTTTTTTAAAAAATCATACAGGGTGTTCCAAAAAGTTGAGTAATTGATTAACCACGATTCTGCTTAAACTGCTCGACGTTTAAAGCTTATTTTTGGCAAATGTAAGAAAATTTTATCCAGTTTGTATGTTAATGGAAATTCTTGCTTTGCTTTATCATCACCATTACAAATTATTAATTTGACGCAAACGAAGTCGCGGGTACACGCTAGTTTAAGTGTAAAATTAATTCGAACTCTAGTGTGTAGTTGGTTACTTATGAAGAATATACTAAACATTTTGTTATATTGCTGTTTTTGACCGCAAATGGTAAAAACATAACTAAAAGAGCTTCTCGCCCGTTGAGTGAGAAGCACCCTGTACACTGATACGCAATTCAGGATCTACGCGGATCGAGGGGCAGGGCTTAGGTAGATCGGAATGTATAGGTATAGACGAGTGGCGGAATATTTGTAAACAACCACCATTTTTAGAGAGGTATTTTAGATAACAATCGATATTTAGAAATGTTTTGACACCCTGGAAATACTATAGTCTATAAAATGAATAACTTTGAATTTTGACCGTTATTTCTTACCAACACGGCAAATATAAAATCCCTCATCAAAAAAGTTACTGATATTCTTTAAATTGAGTGCCTGAACGAATCAGATAGGTAACTCTTTTTACTTTCGTGAAATAGAAAAGGAAAATAATAAAACAAGTGATAGTTCATCCTCTTCTACCAAAAATCAACACGAAATCTCATAATTGTCAATAGTAAAATGTCATCAGCTTTTGACATTTCTAAATATCAGACCAATGCCGTCTCTAATAGAACAGCCTCGGAGAGGGATTTATGACGTCACGCTAGTTAGATACTATGGATTAATAAATATGTGTTAGAATACATGGAAAACATAACTATTCCTCGTATTTTTGGTTTGTATTTTAAAATCAATGTTTGTTTTCAAATACAAACCAAAAAATACGAGGAATAATTATGTTTTCCATGTATACAACATATTTATTAATCAGTAGTATCTAACTAGCGTGACGTCATAAATCTCGCTCAGAGGCTGTTCTATTAGAGACGGCATTGCGTCAGCATGGCCGCAAGTTGCTAACCTAATAAAATAAACACTAAAAAAGCCCGCGGGAACTGTCAAATTCAAAGTTATTCATTTCACAGACTATACCACCGAGCACGTCATTGTTGCAACTTGCAATTGCGTTAATACGCATGGCGGTGACCGCCTCATACTCTTTCAGATATTTATCAATAAAATAAAGAAACCTGTTATTTTTAAGCTGTTATTTTAAGCTGTTTTTGATAAATAACTATAACAGTTTCAACTGTTATCTGAAAATAACAGTTTTGCCCATCACTACTATTTTTTACCCATTACTGTTAATTTTTAATTGAAGTTATATTACGTGATTCTTTACGAGATATTATATTGTAGAATCCATTAACGAGCACTGACAAACCTCACTACGATGACGACGACCTCACAGAGCCAGTTAGTCGCGCGGAATTGGACTTGGCCTTGTATATGTTACATCAAAGAGATGTAAGGTGTGAAGAACTAACTGTTGAACTAACTCAGTTGTTAGAGGAAAGAGATACGTTGCAGTTGAAATTATCAAACTCTATTAGAGAGAAAGAAGAATTAAGGCAAATACTTGCAGGTTAATACTTTTTTTGTAACTATAATTTTATTTATTAGATTACAGTTAAGAAAATTCATATCTTTTTATACTACGTTCATGTTTTAATTTCTATCTTTTAATTATATTTAAAAAAGAGACCTGGTTTAAATTATAAAAAGAAGTAGAAAAAAGACTCAAAGTCTGGGTCTCAACGTTTATATAATGTTAAACAGTGACACGTATTTCGCTCGTACGAGCATCATCAGACTTAACAAGAAAGAACCTAAATAAAAAAACAAATAATAAAAAGGTCGTCGTAACTTACAAATACAATTAAAATTAATCCACACACACGTTCTTTTTATTATTTGTTATTTATTTAGGTTCTTAATTATATTATTATATTCTTATTTTCCAATTTCTAGAAATTTCTTTCAATATTTTTAGGGCATAATTCGACAGGTGCAGAAGATCAATCAGATTCAATCCAAATAAACGATTCATACGCTGGCTCTTCAAATATACCCGGCGCTAATTTAGCAAATGAAGCATTACACAAAAACACCCATTTGGCTTCAAAGTAAGTTTAATCATGTATTATACAGGGTGTTTCAAAAAACATGTGCCATCTCTCATGGTGAATTGGTTAGGTATTCCTCACGTAAAAATAAGATTTATTTTTCATATCAACATAGGTCCGATTCTGCTTTGTTTCGTAGCTAAAGTTAATATTTTTTCGATTTATTATAATTTTCTTCCAAGTACTTTTATTGTTTCGAATGAAATTTTGAGGGTAAAAGTTGCTATAAATACGATATATTTTAAAGCTAAAAAAGTGTATACATATTCACCAAAGACGAAATATTTCACTGAAATATTTTTCTAAAACAACATGTACGCTACTGCCTTTTTGCTCTCCTTAGCGAAATAGTGTAAGCAGTTTAATGTCGATTCTCTTGATACGAGGCATGTTTTTTAAGTAAGTACCGTTTTGCGATTCCGCCGCCGCAGCGCTACGGTCGGCGTTCCGCGCATGCGCGCTGGTTACCTACATCTCTTGTCTATGCACAGACGCCAGTACAGTCTGATTCTTCATTGTATACGTTGTTTATTGAGTGTTTAAGAAGCCTCCGACAATCGTGAGTCCCGCCGATTGTGAAGTACGGGCTGTCATACGATTTCTTAGTGCTAAAGGCGTAAAACCGATCGATATTCATCGTGAGATCTGTGAAGTTTACGGACAAAACATTATGAGTGATGGAATGGTAAGGAAATGGGTGAGAGCATTTAAAGATGGCCGCACAAATGTGCAAGATGAAGAACGGAGTGGGCGTCCTTCGGTCGTTAATGAAGATTTGGTGCAGAAAGTGGACGAAAAGGTGAAAGAAAACAGACGCTTTACAATTTCATCATTGTGCGACTACTTTCCTCAATGTTCTCGTAGTGTTTTGTATCGCATTGTGACCGAGAACTTGAATTACCGGAAATTGTGTTCACGTTGGGCTCCGAAAATGTTGACGGATTTGCACAAACCCAACGTTTAGGCAGTGCATTGACTTTCCTTGAGCAGTACCACAATGAAGGTGAAGATTTTTTAGACAAAATTGTTACTGGTAACGAAACATGGGTGGCCTACGTCACACCAGAATCGAAACAACAGTCCATGGAATGGCGACATTCATCATCACCCAAAACAGTGAAGTTTAAGCAAACAATTTCTGCCCGGAAAATCATGTGCACAGTTTTTTGGGACAGAAAAGGAGTATTACTAGTGGAGTTTCTGCCTCGTAATGAGACAATCAATGCAGCATCTTATTGTGAGACATTGAACAATCTGCGCCGTGCAGTCCAAAACAAAAGACGTGGCAAGTTGAGTAAGGGTATTGTTTTGCTGCATGACAATGCCCGTCCACATGTGGCTAATCGGACCAAAGATCTCATCAAATCTTTTAAATGGGAAACTTTAGATCATCCTCCATACAGCTCTGATCTGGCGCCCAGTGACTACCATTTATTCTTGCACTTGAAGAAACACCTGGGCGGTCAGCGTCTTCAAGACGATAACGAAGTCAAAACAGTTGTGATACAGTGGTTAACCAGTCAGGCGGCAGAATTTTATGAGGAGGGTATTGAAAAACTGGTGCCACGTTTGACAAGTGCCTCAATATTCACGGAAATTATGTAGAAAAGTAGATTAAGGTACAGGCTTTCATGTAAAAATAAAATTATTGCGATATCTTTGCACGTTTTTTTTAATTCCAAAACGGTACTTACTTAAAAAACATGCCTCGTATTTTGTCGATTTCGGCCTCCTTGGTGAGATAAACGCAATTCTATTAATTTGCATTGATCCTTTAAAAAATTCTAATAAGTACTAATTTTTAAATAGTTTAAAGTACTACTATTTAGTTTTAAATAAGTACTCATTGATTTCTCATAAAAAACTATGAAATAAAGTTCCTATAAACATGGATATGGAAATGCATAGTTTTAGTTATGGAGTTACAGGATGTTAAAACTTTTTAAAAGGTTGTTTGTACTTATCTTAAATAGCATTATTTTTTTATTTGAAATTGCTGTAGGTTTGGCTGATAGTAATAGTATTTAATAATAAATTAAGTTATAGTATATAATTTATTAATTTTATTTGTATTTTAATTTTATTAATTGTGGATTATAGTCTGTCCAATGAGAAGATCCTTGACAGTGATAGATGTGTCTGTCATTTTAATTTCAAAGTAGTTTATTTTATTTTACAGAGAAATAAGTTGGTACAACTGGAACGCATAGCAGGAAATTAATATATGTATTTAAAATTTGACTGACAAGTAACTTCAAAATATTGTGAAAAAAACGGTATAAAACTGATAAAAAAATTCTTACTTTCAAGCTTTATGAAACTTCCGGCATTTATGATTATATTTATCAATATAACTTGTGTACAAATACAAATTTGTAATATTCCGCAGGAATAAATAAAACAACACAAATAAAACAAACTATTTTATTAATAATAACACTTACCAAATTTTATACCTCACAGGTTGATTAATTAACTTTAATCTTAATTTTTTTAAACCAGTACCTTTTGACATTATTTTTCTGCAGTACTAAAATCCATTATTTACCTATCGTGTGATGTCGATATTTTACAGCTACTCCAGTTTTTAGTATGTGTTTAGTATGGTCCTTCTACCATATTCGAGATGCACTTATCTACGACGAGATGGTATACGAACTTTATTGATAGTAACTTTATTGGTGTATCTGTATAAGACTTTCTGCCTGGGCAGCGAGTATTAACCATAAACTGTGCTCTGGGTTCTACAGTTAATTTTCACTCGATTTTTCCTCCACTTGACTTCAAAAGACACAAAACACACGTAATAACACGAATCAAAATGCATCATCTTCCAAAACGCAGGGTATTTGACAAAAGTTGGCACAAAATTATAACCTATAATTTGGCAAGACTTTGACAAACGTCAAAAATCTAAAGGCAAGTTCATACGCATCGGCGTCCGTTTGTCGTTCATCGTTCCGTCAAACCAATAAAATTGAAATACGATCTGTCATTTTTGAAATAAACCAATAAAACTGGTTAAAAACAACAAGAGACGACGCATGACGGATTTATATTTGAACCCATCCATAGTTAACTTAAAAATTATTAGAAACTTTTTTTAGTAAAATAAATAGATTGGTATGGGACGTCATCTGCTTTTCTTCTGTCATCGTCTGTCGAAATCTTACCTGAGAAAAAAAAAACAGAGTATAATAAAATTGCTTTTATCTCATCAAGGAGACTGAATTCGACAAAATGTCAATAGATAACTTTTAATTGGCATTAAACGGCCTACACAATTTTGATATAAAAAGAAAAAAGTCAGTGGCGCACGACCTGTTGGGTAATAAATTATTAATTATTATTTATAGATTTATTTATTTATAACGTCAGTCAACTATCTTTGTATTACTCATTAAAATATTGACCTTCAATTCAGAATGACAAATAACCTTATAAATGTTGATTAAATGAAATTGTTGATTACATTTAAGATTATATTTTCTATCAAAATAAAAGACTAATTTACCACAATGCACCAAACACTTTTTTAAACACTAGACGTGCATTTTGCTGACCATGTTTTGTTTAAAAAGTGTTTTGGTGTATTGTGCTGAATTATTGTTTTATTTGTTTGTTTAACACCAAAGGTTCCAACCTCCAACTGTCATATTATATTTTCTATATTGTTTGATAAAAGGTATTGTATTTATTTTGTTTGTAAAATAACTACTTATATTTTTAGATTATCAGAACTTAGAAATATAGGCTACAAGAAAGACAAAACATTTGTCGATGAACAATCTATAAGAAGATTGCAGCAACTTGCTATAATGGAGCAACATATTAATGAAGCTTCTAAATTGCCACCAGAGGCAGCAGCTAAGTTAGTAGACGCCAGTTATACTTTATGTAAGTATTTATTGGTAAAATTAATATCGTTTTATAGTGCACGGTAAATTATAATTTAGGTAAAAAATTAAATTAAGTATTGTTTTAACCTTATCCCGACGATATTTAAAAAACGGCGTCAAAGACGGCTAGGGAATGACCAATAACGATTATAATTTTAGCAAGTTCAGTTTCTAGACGTTAATTTACTAAAAATTGACATAAAACTTGTCAAACATTAACACTAATTATAGAAAGATTAAAAAAGGACGCACGTTTCCAGATATATTTCCAAAAACATATTTTTTCGAATCAATATAAAAATAAATAGTCTTCTTAAGGCCAACTTGCAATGAGTGCCATTAAAAAATAAAGAAGAATACTGATAATGACGTCTAGGTCTTGACTTTGCCAAAATTGTCATCGATTTTCATTCTCCAACCTTCTTTCACGCCATTTTTTCGACCGTATTGTATTTACATGCATTAAATTATTTTTAGCTCGAGATGTTCAAAGTCCATCCAAAGTACTCTTGAATTGGCTATGGGGAAAGAATCCACCTAAAGCAAACGATTCCTAGCACAACACATTGAATACTAGTAAATATTTTAAAGCCACATACTCCCGCGAAAGAAAAACTACGAAATTAATTATTAAAAAAAAACATTCTAACGTACATGTTTAGGTCTGGTCTAAAATGCCTATTTGGTGTGATACTATTATTAATAATTAAGAACTAAATACATTTTTGCAATTTTAAAGTAAACAAAAAATATGTTGTGTATACTTGTTTAAATATGATGAAATTTGTTTATATGTTTTAATTTGTATAAAAATTCCAATAAAATATAATATACAGAGTATATAACTGTTTGTCGATTCTTTTAGTTTTGCCTTCATTTTTTAACAAATATTTTCCATCTCTAAATGTGAAAAATTTTGCATTCAAACTGATGACACAGATTAGGTATCCTATACCGATAAAAATCTTGTCCCTAATTCGTGGTACGAAAATTGTTTTTTATGACGATGTGCAAACGAGTCAAATTTCCTGTGCGCAAAAATAAACTCGCGTAAAATAACAATAAACAGCGTAATAGAGAGATATCGCTAAACCGAATAGCGTGCATGGACGTTAATAAGGCCAGGTGTTATTTCCTTTACGTGAGGTGGTATTAACTCTCTTGATTTATAGTTATCGGATCGGAAAGAATTCTGTTCGCGTCGTGTCCGCTATTTAAACTTAACCTAACTTTGAATTTAAAACTTTGAAATTGTTTTGTTTACCAGGTATTTTAAAACTAAAGGGCTAAAGTGCTTATTTCCAGTGCTTTATTGTTCAACGTCTACCAGTGGGTTTCGGGCAACAAGCAACAAATTCTCTTAGAAGGGCTGAGTCGTCATCTGCTGTAAACCTAAGCCTCTTTATAGGTTCTTGGAAGAGGAGGAATCCATATTTTGGGCCATATTTATTTAATTAAAACTAATCCCAGCTACTTAAATATCAAATTACCTAATAAAACTAAAGTAATAATTCAAAACAATTCAAACATAACCTAAAATAAAAGATCTCCCCGGCCGGCCGGCCCCAGTTGTCAAATACCCGCACATGCCCATTTAAGCAATTTTTAAACGTTATTTAGAAACAGCGCTTGGTGTAATTGATCCGCAAATTACGTCAGGCGGTAACGTTATTAGCGGGCGTTGCGTTAAAAATTGACTCGCGCATATCGTAACCATGATAAGGTACGCGTAAATACTGCATGACGCTATTCGGTTTTCCGATATCTCTCTAATACCTGTGCCGGTCAGGCGCTGTGCACAATTTTAGAGGCCATAAGTGGGCGTGCTATGTGCGCTTTGAATAAGAAGACTAAAGAAAGAGCATAATGCTATCCGTGTATTCTTGCATGATGGGCGGAAAAAGCACCATACAAGCACTCTAGGGTGGGGATCCTTGACAGTTCTGTTTGACGATTCATTTGACACATTTGAATTTGATTTGAAATTTTGTGGATTTGTCAGTCTTTACGGAGCTTATTTTATGTTATTTATTATTTATTCTACTACTGATAGTTGTATAAAGGTAGTAAATCTAGATGGAAATTGTGGCAGCACTTAACAGTGACACTATCGCGATTTATCGAAAAAGACTCTAAAATAGTTGGTTGTGTAGCGTGCGGTAGATCTCGGCAAAAATTGAGTGAAATAATGGAACAACTTTTCGCTAGTAAGTGACTATATAATATACATACGTGTAGTAAACCGATCATTTATGAAATTCACTTAAATTAACTAAATTATATATTTTTCTTGCATTTTAGCTTTTATTTATTACTTGTCAAAGATTAGATGTCAAAGAATTGTGACGTTAATTTGACTTACCTGCTTCAGTAGCGTATCGGATGTTTGTGTTAATAAATACTTATTATAACTTATCTATTTTTATTAGAATTATATATTTTTATAACAATTTTAATAACTACCAACATTTATTCACAACGTAAAATAAAACAAAAAATTATTGAGTCTATCCCACGTATACCCTACATCATAGTTTTATATTTTTTAAATAAAATTAGAACGAGACTGATAAACCGGAATTTAAGTCGGCCATATTTGAGGCCCATCGCGGTGTACCTAAGATTTTTGATATGCTCCTTCCTTAGTCTTCTTATTCAAAGTATAAGGAAGACTTTGTTTTGTGTTTGTTGGAAATGGATTGGAATTTAAATAAAATGAGGTGTGAGAAAAAAATATTTATTTCTTTAAATAAAAAAATAAGTAACAAAAACAACACCTGTATAAATTATAAATTAGATTTAAAATATACATCATAACAATAAGTTGGATGAAAGTAAATAGTTTTGAAATAGAATCTGTTGAACATTCTTAGTAATTAGAATTATAGGCGCGATTTGTATTTTACATTATTAATTACATTTCTAGGCGCAATTTCATTTCATTAAGGAGTGTACAACCGCTTTAACATTTAATGCTTTCAGATCGGTATAGGTCTGCCCAGTCCCGACAAAAACTATTGGTTGCCCTGTAATGTAGGTCATCGATATTGCTGCCCCTACCTGAAATAATAGTTTAACATTATTGTAGATTGTAGATTTTACATACAGGGTGTCCCAGAAATAAGTGCAAATATTTTAACTGGTAGTATAATTCAACCCCAGAAACACGCTTTTTTTCACGAAGTTTTTTTCGCGAAAAAAAATTTTTGAAATTTTTTTTAGATTTTTTTTTAGTTTTTAGTTAAAAAACATAATTTCCTGATAATATGGCAACATAGGTATTAGATTAAATTTACAAGAAAGAAAATCCAGAAAAGATCCAGTGGTTCTCAAAATTATAGCAAAAAATCCTTTTTTTTTGGAAATTTTCAAAGTAAAATAACTCCTATTTTGGACTTTTTTTATTTGAAAAACGATAAAGAGAAAATATGTTTCTTTTATCGAGATCTACCACCCATTAAAATATTTGCACTTATTTCTGGGACACCCTGTATAAAATAGCCTATGGCTTTACTATTTATGTTTATTGTGATAAAATATTAAAAATTAATAAATTTATGATTTAATATTCAAAATATGGCGAGATAAAAAAACATAACTATATACCGGGTGCCTCTCAAAAGTGGTTCACCTCTATAACTTTTTTATGTTTTCAGATAAAAAACGAGATTTGGTATGTTAGTATAGTAGTAGTAGTTAGTCTGTAAAACGAATAACTTTGAATTTGACAGTTCCTGCGGGCTTTTCTAGTGTTAATTTTATTAGGTTAGCAACTTGCGGGCCATGCTGCTGCAATACCGTCTCTAATAGAACAGCCTCGGAGCGAGATTTCTGACGTCACGCTAGTTAGATACTACGGATTAATTATGTTGAAGAATACATGGAAAACATAATTATTCCTCGTATATGTAATTTTTTGGATTATATTCGACACTATTTTTTTCATATGACACAACACTGATGAAGGCTATAAACGTTAGCTATAACGTTTTTTTTAAATCAAAAAAAAATAATGAAAAACCAAATGAAAACTTAATCAGCGTTTTTCAAGAACCTAAATCCCAAGAAAATCAAAAATTTTAGAATAATTTTACATATAAAATGACAGCGATCTTCATTTCATAGCCATCGCTGACGCCTTTTTTTCTGATATTGAATTATTTGCAAATATAATTTTTCGAACATTGATGCTTACAAAATATACATATAAATTTTGTGAATGCAAATTAATAATACATCACTATTAGTAGATATTGAATGTTTTTTGTTAAATTGGATCGATTTTCAAATCCCAAAATTTAAAATATATTTTACATTTTACCCATTATCTTATGTACCTATTCATTATTTGTATATTGTAAAACATTTACTGCATTTGTATGGTTCATAGTTTATTTGCCAAAGTATTTATTACTATAAATAGGTATATATATATATTGTATTTATTAACTGTATATTATGTATATTTCATGTAAACTATATCATTTTTAAAATACAAACCAAAAATACGAGGAATAATTATGTTTTCCATGGATTCTACAACATATTTATTAATCCGTGGTATCTAACTAGCGTGACGTCATAAATCTCGCTCCGAGGCTGTCTATTAGAGACGGCATTGAGCTGATATTTAGAAATGTCAAAAGCTGATGAAATTTTACTTTTGTCAATTATGACATTTCGCGTTGATTTTGCAAGAAGAGGAAGAACTGTCACTTGTTTTATTATTTTCCTTTTCTATTTCACGAAAGTAAAAAGAGTTACCTATCTGATTCGTTCAGGCACTCATTTTAAAGAATATCAGTAACTTTTTGGATAGAGGGCTTTTATATTTGCCATGTTGGTAAAAAATAACGGTCAAAATTCAAAGTTATTCATTTTATAGACTGTAACATAAATTAGGACTGTTTGACGTTTCATAATTTTTCACAAATTATACTTCCTAACTAAGAATAATTATATAATAAATTTTTCGTATACTCGTTATTTAAACCCGTGTATTCTGGCTATTTAAACATACGTGATATTCTCCGATGGTGGCAGCACCGGCGGAGAATCCACCAAGCCTATAACAATCGCGTAACACTAATGTAAGTAGATGTCTCAATATTGAACAGGTTGCTACCATCAGGGTGCATCCACATCATCCTAGAAAAAGCGGATCGGCGTATCGGCGTAACGACCTTGAATCGATTTCCAGCAATTCTATTGGCTGAAAAATTCCAGTGTCAAAAATTTCATCTGTCAAAAATTTCAGCCAATAGAATTGCTGGAAATCGATTCAAGGTCGTTACGCCAATACGCCGTCCCGCTCTTTCTAGGATAATGTGGATGCACCCTCAGATAGTCTTTACGGATGACGTAATCCTGTGGTGAGATTTAACTAGTAAGTCTCAATTTCACTAATAACGAAAAGAGCATATTATTCTAACAATTATATTCCCATACCTAGCCAGCTTTTGTATTTGTTCATTGTACCGCAATGAGTGCCAAAGAGCAATGAGTGCCAGAAATCTAAACGAGGGACAATGGAACGATCGGAAGACGTGGAAGTTAGGCATCGGACAACGTCGCAAGACGTTCTAGACCGATATATATACAGAGAAGACCAGGCTACAAGTAACATAGCAACTTGCCGGACGAATTTACGCTTACCTGATTGCGTTCGTACTTGAGATTCACTGCCGGCTAGTCGGCTGGTCAGGCAGTACGCAGTTGCAGTTGTGCTTGGACGGGTCGGTCGTAGCAGACTAGAAATACGACGTGAGGAGTGCCGAGTATTTATTATTTTCATTTTAAGTGTTTACCTTCACTTAAGGTAACATTTAAAATAAAAATACTAAAATATTTATTATTTGAGTGTATTTACAAGCCAAAACTAAAAATAAATAAATTCATTTCCAAAATTAAAAAATACATGAATAAAATAAAAAAAATAAAATATTACTCTAAATAAAAAAAGTTATAACAAGTGTTCAAAAAGACCACCTTCTTGTGCTAGACAGAAGCCTAGGCGGTCGTAAAATCCCCGTCTGACATTGGCTAACATATTAGGGCTAATCGTTTGGAAAGCCTCTCGTATTTTTACTTGAAGCTCATCCAGATTATTAGCCCTATTATGACCATACACTTTGGATTTACATAACCCCACAAAAAAAATCATGGAGAAAATCTGGTGATCTAGGCGGGCCACAAAATGGTTCCATATCCACTAATTGAATGGTTGGGAAAAGTATTGTTCAAATATCCTTGAACAATTACGGGCATTGTGGGCAGGGCAACCATCTTGTTGAAACCAGACATTGTGCAATCTTTCTCCCAATAACTCACGAATTCTAGGCACAATCTGCTGCTGTAACAATTCCAAATACTTTGCAACAGTAAAAATTACCCTCTATTAAAAATGGACCAATCTATCTCCCCTACAAAACCACCCAAAACATTTAGCTTTTGAGAATATTGCGTGCGTACCTCAAAATATCTGTGCAAATTTTCCCGAGACCAATATCGCACTTGTGTAGGGTTATGACGACTCAATAAATGAAAACTTGATTCGTTGGTGAAAACTATACACCGAATAAAGTTTTCATTTAAATTTGCCTTTTCCATTACAGATTCACAAAACGCCATACACCGAAATTGGTCTTCATGGAAAATTTCCTGAGTTTTGCGCGCTTTATACGATCGGTATCCATTCCTTTTAAGGACTCTTTTAACCGTGCTAGATGAAGAATCTCTTACCTCAGCAATTTGATTACTTGAAAACGTGGGATTTTGATCCCCGGTAGCACAAATGAACACGTGCTTTAACTCCTGTTCTTTATTAATCAACACATCAGGCTTTTGTGTTTTTGTGGGAACACGCACCCATGTGTTTCAAAAATTTAATAATAACTCTGATATTAGATAGGTAAAATGAAATTGGCCTGTTTACAAGTTTGTGGAAAAATTCTTGATATACCATAAAGACCTATTTTGGAAATACCATTTTTACATTGATTTTCTCACGAATTTCGTAAACATCCCATTATTTTACTTAAAAAATAAAAGTTACACGAGAACTGTCGCGAGAATCTATGAATTCGTTTTGAAATATTTAATAACCGAATAAATACAAATTTCAGAACATGCTTTATCACATATCTACCTATTTTTATTTTATCGCATTTTTTCGCTTGCTTTTTATCCGGCGGACGGGTATACGCTAATTCGTCCGGTTTTGCCTATGTTACTACTACGGTGGTCCGGTCTGTATATCATTGTACCACATGATTGTAAAAAACGGCATCAGCAATAGCTTTGAAATAAAGATCGCTGTCATTGTATATGTAAATTTATATGGGAAATGTCATCAATTGTCATTTTGGACGCCGTTTTTTTTCGGTACTAATTACGGTACTTGTAATAGTGTTAAATACTTAACAACTAAACTAACCTTGTCATCAATAGTATCGAACTTTGTCAAAACAATTCCATCAATTAAATGGGGGTTGGTGGTTGAAGAATAATCAGCTAAAGCTTGGTTGAATTTTACCAGTTGATCAACGGCTTCATTTCCAACGAGTGCTTCACCAACAAAAAGAACCAAATCCGGTTCGTTTACTTTTATTTAGTTTTAGTTTATTTTTTTTTTTTTTTTTTTTTTTTTTCCTAAAAAATAAATAAATTAAGGTTTACGAGGTCTGATATTCAAAAAATATTTTATCATTATTGACCTATGCCGTAACCACCATAATACAAGGCGGACAGCTATTCGTGGACGTCATCAACTGGAGGGCCTAAACTGGATTGATTTGATACACTTATACTGTATATTAATGATTATAAACTTTAATTTTTTTTTTTTTTTTTTTTTTTTAATAATAATTAAACATTAAAATTTAAAAAAACATTCAGATTTATATCCCATCTCACATTATCCATCGTCATTGTATTATTTATGCTGTAAGTGTGTCTCAAGTTTCTTTTATTTCCTTTTCCAAGTCCTATCATTATTTTTTAAGAAAACATTTTTTTTTTTTTTTAATTTATTTTCTAATAGAATTTATGACAATTTTTACAATAACTTAGCATTATAAATAGTACATTGCGGAAATTTCAATAATGGTTGTTATGTACCTTTAATGTAATCCAAAGATATTTTTCATAAAAATATTTTTTATTGTGAATTTAAAATAAAATAAAAAAAAAAAAAAAAAAACTTTATTAAAAAATTATATTATTTCACATAAAACGATATTAGTTATTTCATCTTTTGGTCAACCAAGATGACCTTTTAGTAAGGTTTTTATAGTCTGATAAAATGAATAACTTTGAATTTTGACGGTTATTTTTTACCCCAACATGCAAATATAAATCCCTCTGTCAAAAAAGTTATTGATATTCTTGATATTCTTTAAAATTGAGTGCCTGAACGAATCAGATAGGTAGCTCTTTTTACTTTCACGAAATAGAAAAGCGGAAAAATAATAAAAACAAGTGACATTTTCTTCCTCTTCTTTGCAAAAATCAAAACACAAATGTTATAATTTTCAAAAAGTAAAATGTCATCAGCTTTAGACATTTCTAATATCAGACCAATGCCGTCTCTAATAGAACAGCCTCGGAGCGATATTTATGACGTCACGCTAGTTAGATACTACGGATTAATTATTATGTTGTAGAATACATTGGAAAAACATTAAATATTATACCACTAAAACTATCTACATTGGCTATGGAGTACGATTTCAGTCATAGTCAATGTAGATAGTTTTAGAGCTAAGAATAATAATTTTAAAAAATGTGTGGCCATCTTTTGACAAGTTTATATTACTGTATTAATTGCAGTAAATACTATGTGGTGTTTTTTTAGGTTAGGTTGTGAATGTAATTTTTTGGATTAAATTTTTTGAACATTGATATTTGCAAAATATACATTATAAATATATAAAAAAAAAAAAAAAAAAAAAAAAAAAAAAAAAAAAATTGTTTTTTTGTTAAATTAAGATCGATTTTCAAACCCCAAAATTTAAAATTTATTTTACATTTTACCCATTATCTTGATTACCTATTCATTATTGTCATATCGTTAAAACCATTTGTTATTTGTATGGTTCATAGTACATTTGCCAAGTATTTATTACTATAAATAGGTATATACATTATTGTATTTATGGTAACTGTATGTTATGTATATTTTATGGAAACTTATAATTTTTAAAATACAACTTTTTTTTTTTTTATAATTTATTATGTTTTCCATGTAATCTACAACATATTTATTAATCCGTAGTATCTAACTAGCGTGACATCATAAATCTCGCTCCAAGGCTGTTCTATTAGAGACGGCATTGCGTCAGCATGGCCGCAAGTTGCTAACCTAATAAAATTAACACTAGAAAAGCCCGCGGGAACTGTCAAATTCAAAGTTATTCGTTTCACAGACTATACCTCATATTTTACTGGTTAAAACAATATTTTATTACTTCAAGCTCAATCTGTTACTCAACTCAAGTTAATAACCTTAATATTGAACACAGATAAAAGTTAGAAATTTTTTATTATTTTCATCGCATTTTAAAGAATTAGTAAATTAAACGAGCATGACTGAATTAATGTTGACAGTATTACTATCAGGGTTCGGAAAACTACATGTTACTCTTAAAAACTACATAAACTACATTACATGTAGTTAATCGATGTAGAGGGTGTAGTTTATGTAACTTTCAAATATGAAAGGTTTGAGGTGAGGTAAAAGATAAGTAAAAGCTTTAGAAAATACATATAAATATATATTTGAGAAAACAGAAGAAATATAGCTTTAAATATATGATTCACATCTTATTATTTAGACCCCTCATAAAGCGGAAAATTATTAAACTGATGAACATATTATAAATCAGGTTGAAAAATACCGTATGATCGAAAAAAAACGGCGTCTAATTGGCTTGGAAACTGAATGATCGATGACGATTCCCCATATAATTTTACATATAAAATGACAGCGATCTTCATTTCATAGCCATCGCTGACGCCGTTTTTTTTTCGATCATACTGTACTTTCTACAAAGTCTTGACAAAGATTATTAACTAGGTGATTATCTTATAGAAATTAAAATGTTTTGAATTTTCATATTTTACAATAATTTTAATATATTGTGTTAACCAGTGCCGCCGCGCGGCGCGGCGCCGTCGCCCCGTAGTAGGGGGCGTAAAATATCAATAAAATATATAATATATACTATAAAAAATATCAATTTTTTTATTGTTTTTTTTTTCATATTATACACTATTGCGAACTTAAAATATTACTTTATTAAATTTGATTTGATAAAAAGTGAAGATAAACATTTATTGATGGTATGATTTTTTCCTTTCTATTTAAAACTATTTTAATATACTATAATATTTTTAAAGAACTCGAAAAAAAGAATTTTTAAAACTTCGAAATATATCTAGTGAGTGAAAAAAGATCCCCAATTTGAACTTTTATCGGGGTAAATTATCAACGCTGCTAAATAGAGTTGAGCCTCCAGTTGGTGACGTCACGAGATTTTTACGTCAAAGCTGTCCGGCCTTGTTATTACGGTGGTTACGACCTAGCCCGTCATCTTAATTTAAACGGAAGTTTCTTCTTTTTTTGAAGATTTGAAATCGCCATCCGTTGATACTAGGGGTTCAGAACCGGGAATTCCCGGTTCTTTTGAACCATCAAAGAAAAAGAAAGCAATTGCAATACGATACGGGAACGGTTATTGTGTATTGAGTTTTTTTAAATAAATAATCAATATTGGCTTTACCATTGGGTAATTGAAATTGCTACAGTAGTAAATAATAAACTTACTTGCATTCTACCGGCAGTGTCGATAAGTACTACATCCATTTTACAATCTCTTGCATATCTTATGGCTTCCATTGCAATACCTGCTGCATCTTTCCCATAACCTAAATACATATTTTTTTTGTAAAAACTTACTATCTTTTTAAAACTACTATAAAAAACATGCCTTTTTCATATAATTGAACCATTTGTCGTCCTGCATGTCGTTCCGGTGGATGCAAGGCGTTCAAGTGTCTCATGTGAGTACGAAGTTGCTCTACGGCACCAGCCCTAACAATTTAAATAAAATATATAACATTTACAACAATAACATATATTTTTTACTTGTTTGACTTATTTGTGAATTTCGTTCAAAATACACATTAGTTTTTTAACAAACCAATGAATTGTGAACTTCATGACAATCAAATTAGAAATATTACACCAGGAAATAAAATATTTGTGGAAATTTAATCAGCCGACACAACAAGGAAAATATCAAAAATCAATCTTAATGACTAGACCTGATTAATCATTTTATTAGTTATTACCAATGACCTCTAAATAAAGTAGACCCGGCATTTCATTCATAAAAAGGAAAAGATCAGAATCAGACATTCGTTTCTTGCTCTATGCGAGTGGGAACAAGACGGGCTGATCGCAGTCATGAAGGATTCCCGTGAGAATGGCAACGCTGTTCAGAGATCTTGAGAAAGTGTGTCATGGGCGTAGTTACTTTGATTGTAATATATAATTTAATATTATATCCGCGTAAATACCGGGAAAAATAATATACCGGGAATAATAATAATTTTTTTTACATATAATAATAATAATTTTACATATAAAATGACAGCGATCTTCATTTCGTAGCCATCGTTGACGCCGTTTTTATTCGATCATACGGTATGATTTTTGGATACGATATATTGTTGTGCTCGATGGCTCTTCAAATTTTGAAAATGACTACTTCTGTACTCCAATAAGATTGAAAATAACTAATTTGAAATATTATGATATGCACATTTCCATAGTATAAAGTATGTAAATTGCTCCAGTAGTAATATAATCCATCAAACATTCAATGAATACGAGCCGACGACGACTTTTATAAAACATTTATGTGAATTAATTGTTATTATTTTGCTTGAAGCAACGGTGGAAAATGAGGATATTTTAAAATTGTCGTGACTAATTACAATTTTATATTAGGTATAAAAATATTTACTAATAATTTTTTTTTTTTTTTTTTTTTTTTAAACAAAAAGAAAATTTTAAAATATTACTATTTCTGAACGTTTCTTCGCGGATAATTGGGACCTTGTACTGAATAAATAATTAACTTTTCATTAGAAATTACCAAACAAAAAATAAGTAATGCTTTATAAAAACATATCAAACAAAGATGCATTCTCTTTTTAACTATATAATTTTTTATAGCATTAATAAACAAAACAAAAAATACATTGCTCTATTACCACAAACATTATACCATCGAAAAAGAAACGGCGTAAAAAATGACAATCAGTTGATAATTTTGCGAGGTGATATGTCCATGACCCTACTCTTGTTTAATTTTTTATGGCACTTACTGCCAGTAGTGACCTAAGTTGTATTTGATTTTCTAAATGTGTAGTATAAATTCGAAATTTTTTTTTGGATATCGGTTGGTGTTTCTGAAAACGTCATATCCTTGATTTTAATATCTTTTCTATAACTAGTTATTAGTTTTTGACAAGCTTTATGTTCAATTTTTAATAAATGACATCTAGAAATAAGACCTCGCCAAAAATTATATTCGAATTGTTTTTCCCAGCAGTCTTCGATACCGTTTTTTTTTCGATCATTCGTATTTAGTATGTTAATATCCAACGTACTCTTCCCTTAACTTTTTTCAATATATATAAATCTGTTTTGATTTTACACTTAAAAATATCTTTAACAACTAAAAATCCTATAAACATCAGTATGATAGAAAAAAAGGCCCCAGTTGGCTTAGAAATGAACATCGATGACATTCCCCATATAATTTTACATATAAATGACAGCGATCTTCATCATAGCCATCGCTGAACGCCGTTTTTTTGTCTCGATCATATGGTATTTCGCTTATGAACATTTTTCATAACTGACACATTGTAACAATAAAATTTACTATTTATTTATTTTTTCAACAAATTAATCGCATTTGTATACTTATTTGATATTGTTTTTAATAAATTAAAAATTATGAACAAAATATTCAATAAAAACCAAAACGTGACGACTAACTTAATGTAATTCATTACTTACAACGGTACATTCCAAACTTGTGATTTACTAATACTTATTTCCAAAGATTTTTCTCTATTTACCTTCGGCACCGCACGATGACATAGCCTTACTCACCTTCGAAATGAAACTTCTATGTTTGTTTAAATCGTCTCTATTTTTTGCAAATTAAGCAAGTCCGCAATTTTCTATTGTTTATCAATAAAATCACTAAAAACGATACCACAAAACACTAAAATCTGCAAATCACCTCGTTAAACATTAAAACTACAACACATTGGCAACGCCGTAGAGCAATTTATGAACGAATTCGAACTGGATGTTTTGTTGGCTGCCTAAATTTAGGAGTGAAGATAGTAAAATGCGTACGTATCTCTCCTTTTTTT